AAACTGAAAAACATGAGAAGACGTTCTTTTGATCTGATTGAGCTAGAGAAGAAATAACAACAGGATTGAATGCATTACTTGGTTAACTAATGGTAATAATACCCATTGAAGACTAGGGGCGAGATTGATTAGTTAGGCAGGAGTAGTAAAATGGCAAATATCTACAAGTTGATACAGACTTCAAACTATTATTGCAAATGCAAATACATCTAATTGTCGTATTCGCTCATCTGTAGGATGACTGAAAAATCCACAATTGGTTATTGGTTTCAGCTTCATTACATAAATATTAAATAAATATTTACCTTGACAGTTTTTTCCCATCCAACCTATTCTGCACGTGCAGTCGTATGAATTGCCATCAGATGAACACGTAGCACCATTTTCACAAGGAGAGGGGATACAAGGATCTGGTTCTGTAAAGGAAAGACCCCAGAATTTTAAAAACGGTGTTTTCGCGCCTTTTTGTTCACTTAGTAGAGACTTTTTAAAGATCCGAGGACGGCGACATGGGCGAAAATGTCGCTTAAGAAGTGAATTCGCGTTAGTCAGACTGGCAGCACTGTCAGATGTAGGTAAACTGTCCTCGAGCTGAATTCTTAAGAGGCAAATCCAAGTTAAGAAAGAAAAATGAAATTTCGTCGTCGCTTGTTAACCTTCCCTTAAAAATGGTGAACTGAATTAGTCATTTTCACGACGTACTCGTGTCGTGACGGCATCAGTGCGTGATGCTCGTGCGAAGTTGTTGTTTTGCCTATAAAACCTAATATTTAAGAAACTAAGGATGGAAGCCTTATTGTATTTACATGTACTTACTATCACAATTCTTTCCAATGAATCCTTTTGTGCAAGTGCATTCGTAGTCGCGTTCAACTTGCGAACAAACACCAAAATTGTTACATGGGTTGGGTTTGCACATGTTCTGCTCTACAAAAAATAATTCAATTCAAAAAAATATATCAATATTCTAAGTTTGCTGCATGTGATTTACCGGTGAGGTAGTCCCGAGTGCTATATTGTTGCTAACAGTTACGTTTGAACGACAAGTAGGTTATTTTAATCAGAGTCTGGTCTGTGTTTTTTATTGCCACATGGTAGTATCGACGTGACCGCATGGCCAAAACCAGTTTTCCATCTGTCAGTATTTAGTACAGCCCAAACCAAGGAGTGCTATAATACAAAGGCTAGGTCTACCTTCGCATAGGCCACTTCTTACCTTCGCAATGTTTTCCCTGGTAGCCATTTGCACAGTGACATCTATAAGTATTCATATAAGCTGAGCAGGTACCTCCATTTCGACAGAGATTAACAAGGCATTGTCCATTAATGGCAGACTCTAGCAAAAATAAGCATAAATATTTGTCAGTAATAAACATGTTTGCTTCTAGCCAACGCTTAACTACCTGGGTGCATTATGTAAAATTTGAAAATTTGTAAATTTTTGTAAAAAAAATATTTCCTATTTTTTGGTGCCTTAGATGGGCAGGTCATTTTAACTTTTGGTATTACCTTCTCCGTAATTGTCTCCGTGACTGATGGATTGGTGATGTACAACAAGAGGAATCGGGATAGGAACCTTTTGAGGGTACATGACTGGGTAAGGCACTTGGTGAATCATTAAACGCGGTGGCGATGGAACGGCAACTGGATAAGGCTTGGCAGGAGATGGAACGGGATATGGAACTGGTCTTACTTCTGGCGGATAACGGACGTATACTGGAAATGGTACGCTGCGGACTTGTGCTGGTTGAGGAATCGGTATTGGAAGGAGTAACTTTTGGATTTGTGGTGGCTCTTTGACGGGAAAGGGTACAGGATATGGAACCTTTTGTATCTGTGGAGGCGACGGAACTTGGACGGGATACGGCACAGGAACCTTTTTTATCTCTGGTGGCGACGGAACAGGCACAGGGACCTCATGGATTTTTGGTGGCGATGGCACTGGTACCATGACTTGTTGAACGGTTGGCGGCCCAGGTACGGGCACGGGGTATGGCACACGTTCCACTTTTGGTGGCGATGGAATCGCTACAGGAAATGGAACTCTTTCAATGGCTGGCGGGGGTGGTACGGGTGGTCCTGGTAGATCTATGGGTGGAGGCATTCCCTGGATAACATTAGGAGGCGATGGTATTGAAATGTCTGGTCGTGGCATAGGCGCTGGTGTTAGATGAACAAGAGGAGGCCTCCTCTGAGTATCAATTGGAGGTGATGATGATATCGGGATGTCCGGAGGTGGCATCACGGAAAAGTTTGGAGGTATAGCTTGAGCTGTAATCGGTGGATTCGGTTGAATTGGTTCATCTGGAGGCCGAATTAGTGGTGGACTTATAGGGGGTATTTGCCCACCTATCATATCTACAGGAATGGTCGGTGGGCCATCTACAGTGTGAAGTGGTCGCGGTAGAACGTTGGTAGGGGGAAGTTCTATTCGAGGAGGTGCATTAATGTGAATAGCATAAGAAATGGTTGGTGGGGAGTGGTGCCTATGATGGAGGTGACCGTGGAAGTTGAGTGGGCCAGGGATGAGCTGTGCTAAAGGATGAGCAAAAAAATTCATTGCCATTCGAGAAACGCCTCTAGCGTTGTTTATCATATGCATGTGGTTACGACCACCGTGAAAAGCACGCCCACGCCCTTGGGAATGATGAGGTCCGCGAAGACGTCCTCGTTTGGGAGGAAATGTTACATGCATTACTCCCTCGCCGTGTCTTTGCAGCGTCGGTGGTTTCTGTTCCACAAATTCAGCTGGTGCACTATTGAAAAAGAATCTGGGTCGCATTTCACTTTCCTTATCTGACCATTGCTGCCTTTTGTCCCCGGGCTGGTTTCTTAGAGGTTTATTCATCATTTTGGCTGTCGTGTTATTTGAGTTGTGGTAACTTTTCGCTGTGCCATTAGTAAATTGTTTATATGGTTTTTCTGGTTCCCCACGAGTGTTATATTGCCATAGAGGGCGAGGTTTTGAATGATCCAGGGAGTCAAGCGCATTAGCCAGAAAAACAGATTCTGTTCTGCGACGACGAACAGGAGTTCTCCGCAAACGATGTTTTTTGCCACCAACATTTTCACTACTCTTCAAACACGAAATTCCCCAACAGGGTGTCTTCTTACCAGGACTAACAAACGGCAGGTGGCTCATGTTATGGTTCTTGTTAACATTTTTAACATTACTACCTTGGAAATGATCTTTTTTGTTCCCCTCACGAGTTGGTGTCTTTCTCTCAACATTTTCGTCTTTCAGTCTTTTCCCACTGATCTCAAGACCTGCACTTTTGTTTGATTCAACCAGTGCTAACGTAATGCAAAGGTGCAAAATCAAGAATAGTCCGGTTGAGATCTTCATCAGCACACTTCATCTGAATATTAGCGAACCATTTCGGTGTTGCAGTCTGTTAGGCAGAACAGATTCAAGTTTAGTTTCCTAAAAAAACAATTTGTTTTGACGCCTCGATATTTTTTGGAGGAGGGAAAATGCTATTGCCATGTATTATCTCATTTATTTCAATGGGCATAAAATATTAAACACTATCGCGGACAGTTTTATTTTAGAAGTCACAGTAAAATGAGGGGTGTTATAGCGAATGCCCTTAGTTTGCCTTTTTTTCTATCGTAGAGACTGATCACACCGGTGATCCGCTGGCGTGGAAAATAGATAAATTTTGACTACCGAAGGCCTTTCCACGATAAGGAGAAAAGCTTTTGACCTGAGGCTATTCCGTACAGCATGTAATTATTGACAACTTTTAGAGGCTTGTTTTTAAAACGACGCACAATTGTCAGGGAAAACATGTCTCTGATATCTAATTTTGCTTTTTGAAGCCCCAGCAGAAATCTGTTTTAGTAGTTCCGACCGTCGTCTTTAAATTGTAATTGCTTGAGATTCATATCCTAACAAACCGACGAGTTTGCTTTAGATAGTTCTGACAAAAAGTGAACAACTTGGTAAAGGTTTTCAAAAGTAGAGCGCAGTCACCACTACCGAAAGTTCTGAACACTTTTACCAGTCCCCTTTTCCTGCTTATTCTTTCAGTGAAGTAAGTCGCACCGTCCTGCACGAAGTCCTCAGTGAAATCAAATCGTTACTAAGATAATTGCTGCTTGTTAAACAAATTAGATCAACAATGCTTATAACAGATAGACTTACAATTCTCTTTATTGTTTTATTATTGCCTTGTGTTCGTTAGTCGGCTATTATATTTACTTAAACAGATTGCGTGTGTAAATGAGCCACTGGGGTGCAGAACGCGACGGGATCTATCTTTGCAACTTAACTGAAAAAAAAATCTCTTCGTAACTTGCGTCTAATGACATATTTGCTGTCAAATGTAAAAACACGGGAATCAGATTTAATATTTGCGCGTGAATACAACTGACTTGAGAGCAATCAACGACTGTGTCATTTTAATTGGTCTTGATATCTGCCTCAAACGTCCCTCAGTTGTGGAACCGACGACTACCGGCGTAAGATTCAAGAGATAAAAACGACTGAGAAGGTCAGGTCGTATTTGATTTAGCGTTAATAAGGTTCTTTGAGGGCAGGTGACCCTCTTACGGTCGGGCAAACAATGGAACTGCGAACAATAAACAGGTGACAGCTGTGATTTGACTTTTTAATGTTTGATTACTTGAATATCGCTAAACTAGACTTTGATACCTTTCTCCACGAAAATTGCATAGTTTGTCTCTAGATTACTGCAATAATCTGTGAGAGAAAAAGTAACGGCGTTGCTTCAAGAAATGTGAAAGACGGTTATATGATGCCAAAGATTGGGAAATCTGTCTCGACAGTGAAATGCGTGGCAATAATATTGTGCTTTTTAGCTTTTGTTGAGACTACCAAGATTATCAACAGTGTAAAATCTAAAAATAACCTTGGAAAGAGAGATCAATTTTCGGTCAAAAATGATTTATTGTCCAAAGTACACTTTAATTCGCTTCCACCAGAGGGACCAAATGGAAATCGTGTACGACGTCGAAGAAACACTTCTCTTCATGAAAGAAAACACAGGCAAAATTATTTAGCGAAAAGGATTAAGAAGCAAAGCGAGGTTTCTTCAGGTGGAAACAAAAAGAGAGACTTCTTTTTTAGACCGGAATCTCCATTTAGCCAAATGATCACTCCTCGAAGGATAATGCTGATTCGCCGCGGGGGGAGAGGTAAATGGTATATTGACCTCTTAGTTTTCATTTGCTTTTGTGTACGTTATTACTTAAACAAGATGCATAATCGCTCACGGTTCAGTTGCGTAAGGCTGTAAACTAGGTTTTTTGATTTCAGTTTTTTGGGAGTCTCTAACTACAACCCCGTTCAAAACATCTTGGGACACTTGAGGAAACAAGGCGCGAACACGCATTTTCCCAAATTAACTCGTATTTTACCTCCTATGAAAGCTTTGGAATGTTGTTATAACAGCCTATATCTGCTGTCTCCCTCTCCTCCAAGCAAAGTTGATGATGTTGAGAAAGACTTGAATGCATAACGTCAACGCTGCACTGGGGGGAGGGGATAGGGAAAAAGCGTCTTTTTGACCAGCTATTGCATTGATCGGATGAAGAGTTTTGACCAGGATTGTTACTGTAGATAACACTGTAACTAACCAAAGAGCACTCGCCACAACGTTTTAACTTTTCTGTAGATTGTTTTTATACTCTTCTGGCCACTTGAAGCAAGGTTCGTTGCTTCCAAAGTCTAATTTAATAGTCAGAATCAAGATCTGCCTTTTCAAGGGAAAGCCCACACTTCGACTCATATAAGGAAATCCGAGACAGTCTTGGATTCTGGATTCGACGCCTTGGATTCCTAATTCCAGGTACTGGACTCTGGATTCAGTGTTAGTGGAACTTGGATTCCGAATTCAAATCGTTAGTGGGATTCCGAATTCCAGATTCCACAATCTAAAATTTCTCGGATTCGGTTATACGTATTGTAGAAGCTTTGAACAAAGCAGTTCGTAGTTATATTAAATTGTGCTTTAATTTGCCATGTTACTTTGCAGGGTCATGTTTCTCTCACGCTTGCCATCATGGAGGAATGTGTAGGGCTCGGCGTCACGGGTTCTATTGCGAGTGTCTACCAGGTTTTATGGGCACAAGATGCGAAGGTTTGTTTCGTATTTCTTTTTCAAGTCAGTGTGTATTCTCGTTCACGATAATCACGATCGCGCGTTTCGTCGTGGAGGAATCTGTAGGGCTCGGCGTCATGGGTTCTATTGTGAGTGTATACTAGGTTTTATGGGCACAAGATGCGAAGGTTTGTTTCGAGTATCTTTTTCAAGTCAGTGTGCATTTTCCAATACTGATTCAATGATACCGATAGTGAAAGCGATATCAGTAACGAGCACGATTATCACGATCACGATAGCAAAAACGATAATAGTGACGATGGGACAGTTTCACCGCCATGTGGTAGCAAGAGGCCACCTATTGCAAGTGACCGTGACCATCTTTATGTGGGTCGTTATTACAATTTTCTGTTTTTTTAACTTCTTGTAAGCGACTACTTGGCATAGTCTGATAACTACGCTCGCTAGGAGACTTTTAATGACATGTCACGCAAGAAATTGCACCCAGTTATCCGAGTCAAAGGGGAAGATGGGTCAGATCTGTTCCCGAAAGAGGTCATGCAGCTGTAACTCCACATTCGTAAGCAACCACCTATCTTAGGCTAAATTGTGAAAAATCTTTTAAAATATTTAATTTTGTCAGTTTAGTTGGGAGACTCGACTGTAATGACAAGAACAAGATCAATAGTTATAAGAAAAACAATGTACACAAGGTAGTAACACATCCTTTAAAGTCTTGGGCTAAAGACAAACTACGTCCATTTTACTCTCAAATTCAGGGTACCTTAACCTTTAAATGGTCAAAGGAATACCATGCATATGTATCCTACACTCACCCACTTACACAGTATACTTAATACTCTCTCACTAACTATGAAATTGGATTTGAGACGACAATACAAAGAGCTTTAGATTTGAGGACGAGAAAGAGTACGAGTACGAGATTTAACTTGAACCTTTTGCGCGTGTTCCCAAAAAAAGACACCCCGGAAAGCTTCAGATTCCTTTTTTTCACCATAAAAGCTAGTAGGGTTATTTATACTGAATGAGGTTAAGCCCTCTCTTGATAGCAAAATGATAAATTTTCTTATATTTGATAACTTTGTTCCCGCCACTATGACATTCTCGCTAAAACTCGTAGGAGAATGACAACGGCTATCACGTTTTCCCGCCAAAATGACGCTGGTTCACGCGTGAGCAATACTCATCATTGAGAAAATCTCGTACTCGTAGTCGTTCTCGTCTCAAAATCTAAAGCTCGCTATTGCGTTATATGTCGTCGTAAAGTATCAAAGGTTTCTTTTCTTGTATTTAAAAGAAAAACAGTACCATTGCATTTATATCTACTTTTTATCTTAAATTGCAGTGAAAAAAGAATGCAAACCTACAACATGTAAGAATGGAGGAACATGTACAGAGATAGCTTTAGGGAGACATCTGTGTACATGCCCGGTTGGTTTCCTTGGTGATAATTGTGAAGGTACAAGGTTCAAACTATCATTCGTACCAACAATGGCTTATCTAGGGCCAGTTCTTTAAAGATTACATTTTTTTCAGAGTAAATACTTTCCGATCTCTAGTTTCCTACTTTCAGTTCTATAGGCTTTTTTAGGAAAATGATCGTACGTTTCTGGAAACTGCCCACCTAACCCTCCCCTAAGCCAACATTAATACTTACTTCTCACTTAGGACAAAATGTTGGCTTAGGGGAAGGGTAAGTAGGCAGTTTCCCAGAAACGTATAATGATCCGACATTGATCAACATAGCGTTATGAAAGTAAGGGAGAGTGGTTTTAGAAGAAATCAGGCTTTCTTGAAATCCTACTCCAGAATGTTCTATCGTTATCTTCTCACGGTAAAACGCCGGCTTTCACCTTTTAACATAACTTGACTCAGCCAAATTATATTGGCATGTGAAGATTTGCCCTGAAAATTTAGGGACAACCACAGACTTAAATACAGAAAAAGTATTTTTGACGTGCATCGCTCAAAAACGTCTTTGCTTAAGCTCACTATTATTGGATTCAGTATTGTAGGGTTATTCAGTATTGATAGTTTTTGTTGTCCTTTTAGAAAGAAGCTTTTGTCACCCCAGTCCTTGCCTCAACGGAGGCACATGCACCGAGATTGATGAGTCGTATATGTGTGTATGCGCACAGGGATACAAAGGAAAGAACTGCGAAAGTGAGTGAGTACAGAGTCTATAAACAGAGTTCAGTTGCTGTGCTTTTCTTCTGTTTTCCGTGACTGTCTTAAAAGCCAACTTACTTTGTGTACTTTGTAGCAGTCTGTTGGGTAGGGCTGTCGCCAAGATTGTAAGTTGCCGGGTATATGCAAGTACTACAGGTGGAGAATTGAACAGCTGGGAATTTGTTTTGGTTCTACTTTTCTTTCTTTCCTATTAAAGGAGCCGGGGTCATGCTCATAGTATCCGTCGGGTAATCCCCGGCCCTTTGTGACAGCCCCTGCTTGGGTGTCCTTAGTAGACGTAGTAGCGTCCTGAACCATGGGCAATTACTTTTAAAAAATTTGTGGTTTTGCAATCACGTGACAAGGCGGCCATATTGGTGGTCATACGATAGATTTTAGTAGAAGTTACATGAAGTGGAGTTCAGTTCCCCGAAGAGAGAGATGGTTTTGTTCTTAATCATCAACATGACCGCCGTGAGGTCATCTTCAAACTAGCAATAACTTTTTGCGAAAAAAGAAGGAAAAACCCGTGAAAAGTCGTTTTCGTTCAATCCCGAGGTTAAAACAGTTAATCCAGTTATTGTAGAGTTCCTTATATTGGCTTGTTTTGTTATATGGAATATTTCTCACCTCGACAGCCGTCAACAAATGTTCACCTAACCCTTGTAAAAACATGGGTGCATGCTCTGAATTTGAGGACGATTACGTCTGCAACTGCCCACAAGGATTCAAAGGAAAAACTTGTGAAGGTACGTTCATCTATGAGACTCACCATAGGTATATTGGACAAAATCGAAGTTGCGACGATCGCTATTGATGAGGCAACGATCACTCATGTTCGTCGGGTTTGGCAGCGTTAGTATGGAGATGACGGCAACGAAATCTGCAAAGAAAATCATGTGCGGCACTTTTGAGTTTTTGGTTTGCTTTTTTAACTTGTTGTAACTCATTTCCGTCCAGGACGTAGTCGCCGTGGTTGCTCGAACTCGCCAGTACCGTTTTCCCACAAATAATTCTTTACGTGCAACGATTTGGTTGAAAAACCGTAGATAAGATGGAAAAGGTGCCACGAAAACGACGTCCGGAAGTACCTAGTCTACTACACAGCCGTTTTTAGTGTCGTCACGTAACGCTCAGTGGGGAGGAGCGTTGCGTGACGACACTAAAAACGGCTGTGTAGCAGACTAGAAAGTACCCAACGAGAGGTTTTTAATTGTAGCATTGAAAGCGTTCATGAATCAACTGATTATTTTAGATAATCTCATGATATTTCTTATTTGGAAGTAAGGCAGTCAGCATTGGCAGTTGAAACTACGTTGCTGTAAATCCGTTTGCAAAGTTATACGTTTACAACTGTCTTACAAGACGACGAAATTTATCTAATAGCAAACTTATCCACACTATTTGAAATGATTCTTTTTCTTTTTTTTACCCTTCTTATAGTAAAAAGTGAATGTTCTTCAGTGTACTGTCTGAATGGAGGAACATGCAGGGATGAACCAACGGGGTATCACTGTGATTGCCAGTTTGGATTCTATGGAAAACGTTGTGAAGGTAGATTGAAGAAACAAGCCAGTCATAGAACTTATGTACAGTACTTTTTTACAGTATAAATCACACAGCCTAGTCCAATTTGGCGTTAATTCAAGTTCCACTCAACAAAATCCACTTATTTGTTTGTTTTTTGCATAAGACATCGATCGACTCTTTATTCTTAGCATTGTTAGATCATGGTAAAAAGGGAAAAGTTCTTTTACACGGACAAAGCTCAAAGCACCAGAGAAAATCATAATCCACAGTTCAGAAGACTGCCAACCGTTACCGCATTAATAAACAGCGCGCAAGGTGACGTTAATGTAGCAGCGCGATGCAATTGTTTTTAAAGTGGAGTGAGGTGAAGTACAAGTAGCCCCAAAGCAGGGTTATTTCCAATTGCAACTGATAGTTTCTGTCTGCATTCTATTTAGACTACAAGTAGTCCCCATTTTTCCTCAGGGATAGTAGAGCGAGCAAAACGCGAGCGCGCGTGAAAATCAACCCCCGCTTGAAAGGCGAGACGCGGCGGGGAGAGAGAAAAATGAGAGACTGCAGACAAAGCCCAGGCTTTTGACCTTTTGACCTCATTTTTCTCTATTCCCGCCGCGCTCGCCCTTCTCGCGTGGGGTGATTTTCACCCGTGCTCTACCATCCCTAGGGGAAAATGGGGACTATTCGTAGTCTACATTCTATTGGGCTTTGATCAAGTCGGTCCTGTTTGATCATTTTTAATTTTTTTTTTGATTGATTCGTTCATCTCTGCTTCAATGAAGCTTACCAATGGCAGCACTGTAATTGGCTTGGCGTTTTGCCCTACCAACGACTCGGCCCTGATTCGAAAATTTTGCCCATACCCTTGACTTCCAACGTTAGCTTGTACTGTTTCTCTTTCTATTTTGCTTACTTTTTAGCTTCCACCTTTCACTCGTTGTTCATTTTCAACCTTGTTATAACTGACCACGCCCTTGAAACCACTTATCTGAATCTGGAAATAGTTAAATGTTTAACACTTTGTCTAGTCCCCTGAGGCTCTCACTGGAATTTTGCTTTAATTTAATAGCTTTTCTTACTGGCTTTCTTAGTTTAAATGTAGTTGTACGTAACCTTTGCTAACCCTAGTCGAATACTGTATCTTTATGTAGCCTCTGCATGCCACCCTAATCCCTGTCAAAATGATGGGGCTTGTCTAAGATTTGGTACTCAATCCTTCTGCCAGTGCAAAACAGGATACTCTGGAAAGGGGTGTGAAGGTATGAAGACTTTGCAGTTTTACTATTCCGTGGAGATAAGGTATGCTTCCATTTCGTTGGCCTAAAATCATGCCGCCTAAATCAGGATTGGTAGATTGTACCTCTACAGCAAGGAGCCCAAAGTGTGACCTCCTTTAATTAACTCACATTCTTTCATGCAGACATTAACCATTCATAATTCGAGGACAGTTTTCAGCTGGCTTCTGATTGGATTAAATCTGCACGAAAGAATGTGAACAAATCAAAAGCGGTCAAACTTTTGGGCTTCTTGCTGTAATAATCCAAGGTCTACGCTGTACCTTGCCGGTCAAACTTCTGAAAGCGGTCATTCTTACTTTCACCGTTTACTCGGTATGTTGTCTTATTAGAAATGAAATAATGAGGGAAAAAACCGTGTCGGATAAGGCTTTTGCTCACACATAAGAACCGTGATTTCGGGGCAGATTTTGTAAAGGGACGATGCTGCGCTGCGCCGACCGCGAAAGTGGAGCGGTTTCTGCGCCACTCCTGGTGGCAGGATCGTAATACATTTCTGGGAAACTTCCCACCCACCCCTCCCGTAAGCCAGCATTAACACTTACTTGTCACTTAGGGAGAAACGTTGCCTTAGGGGAGGGGTAGGTGGGTAGTTTTGCAGAAACGTATAATGATCCGTTTATACCAGGCCGGAGTATTTTTGATGTCGATATATAAAGCAGGGCTCGAAAAAGGTCCCGTCCGGTAGTCTGGGACAAATAAATTTCTTGCTGGGCAAGGAATTGTAAAGCCCACTTACCCTTAGGCAAAGGCCTGGGGAAGTCATCCTCTAAAAAAATCATTAACTAAGATGAGCACGAAATGGCTCCGGGTAAGCAAAATGAAAATGGTGCTTGCTCAAACAACAAGCTGGAATTCAATTATTTCCTTGAGTCCTGTGAAGCTATCCATTATAGAGTAGACATAGCCTAAATGAGTCTTTGGTTTATTATTAGCCGCGGGGAGGGGAGGGGAGGGGGGAGAAAGAATAAAATGGAACAGCAAACATACCCTCATCCCCCTAAAAACAAGGATAAAGCCGTGCGAACGCCAAGACGCACTATTTTCCAATCCTTGATTTGAGGGGAATGGGGGAGTCTCACTTTTCCGTGTATTTTCTCCAAGATTGTCAGTACCTTTTTACTGGCTTGTTTCAAACCCTCCCTATAAATCACGGGCATATATAAATTTTACCCTCTGTTTCTTCCTTCACTTTTAACACAATCTGTTTCTTTATAGTTAAGAAAGCCTGTACTCCCAGTCTTTGTCTTAATGGAGGCACGTGCGTAGATGGATCACACACTAACAGTCAATACGGATTTGCATGCATCTGTTTGAACGGTTATGATGGCATTATATGCGAAAAGCAACTCCCTCAAGAAAATACCTTCGATCACACGTTAGTAGCTAAATGAACTGTGCTGGAATTCCAGTATTCAATCAAACACTCAAGTGAGAATTAATTAGTAACCATTTGAACTGTGTTACAATTGTGTTATGCATATTTTTTAACATCAATAGGTTTTTAGTAAAGGGAAAAGCACTTTCCAATTCAAACATTACACGTTATATGAGACACTTACAGCTCTTTGAGCTTTGTTGAAATTGCGATATTTCTTAGCGTTGATAATAAATTCGAGAAAACAATCAGTGGTTGCATAAAACACTTGAGAAAAGTTTAACCTCCGTAAATTTGCAAGAGAGGGGGGTGGGGGTTGAATTTCTTCTGCAAAAACAATTTTTATCACTTCCATGGTATGACGGGCTCTGATTCTGTTCAAGCAAAAATTAGTGTCCAGATCCCCTAATTAATGGACGCTAAAAGAAAGCTATTGCCGCCATCCTCAGCTACTTTTAAAAAGCCCGAGTAGATGACAATCAGATTTTGCGTCATTTGTTCTCTCCAGAGTGTAAGGGAAAAAGTAACTTTTCTACTGAAAGGCGTCCAAATTCATCCCCTCAGTCAACGCATATATGATTTTAGTTAGTGTAAATTTTTATGACTGACTTTAGTAGATGTCACTTCGTGAGAAACTGATAATGTCAATTTCAGCAGTTAAAATTGCATCCCGGCATTACTTTAATTTCCTAAGCTGTCCAAAAATGTACTTTTAACCTTTTCAATTATGTTAGCGTCAAAATGTGTGAAGTGTAATTTTATAAAACGGACGTTGTTAATTCGTTTTGACAGAGTAAAGTAAAGCAAGGTCCTAATATCAGGTGACTAGAAAACACCGAACAATTAAACTATCCTTGAACACAGTTTCTCTATCCAAAACACTCAATCAAAAGTTATTTAAGCTATAATTTCTTGAAAACACAAGTTCATACTACAGTCAAGCGATCTAGCATGTATGGATGAAGAACTTCCAGCAATTTCAAGTAAACTTTATTCTAAAGTGAAAACCTGTTAAGTTAGCTTTCAAATCAGTTAGCCGCGACGAAGCAAAGAGGCTTAGGTTTTGAGGCCAGTGAACCGTGAGCAGGTCGTGAAACCTAATACCTTTTTTATTAAGGATTCAGACATCACAAAAAAAACGCCCATTTTGTGAAACTTGACATCGAGCGGGTTTTGACTGGGTAGTACATTGTTAGTAATAAATGGATGACTTCATCTTCTCGGTGAAGTCACTCAAACCCGCGAAACTCGATCCCAATTAACTTCCCTTGCTCGAAATTTGTATTATTTTGGAACCTAAATCATATGAAATGGAAAAAAAACAGCGAACTTTCGTGGATTATTTAACAACGACGCAAATGCTGTGATGATGATGAAAGAATTTTGGCCACAGGTTGTTGTGTTATGGACTGTTCTTCTTTCGATTTATCAGGCAAGATGTAAACATCTTCGTCACAAAGCCATCGGTTCATTGGATACATTTAATCATAAACATAAACTTGAATATCATTATCCACACAGAACCGTTGCGTATTTGAGATTCTTAAATGAGGGAGCAAGAATTGTTGGAGAGACCAGTGATTCTCTCAGTGACTCTCAGAAAAGATTTAGACGAGAGAAAAATGGCAGTGATTCTAAAGATAAAAGAAAGTTACGTAAAATATTTTCGCACCATTCGTCTTTGTTACCACAGCCTGCTAAACCTCTGCGTGTAGTAGCAACATCGGCTGTAATAAAAAACCGACGAAAAAGTCCGCGACCACTTAAAGCAATCCACATATGGGGACCGACGCCATTCAGGACAGTGATAGAAAATCTTCGAAGGCTGAACCTAAAGAACATTCAAAGCCAAAGAGCTGCAGTAAAGAGACTATTTCTTCCAGCGCAAATTTTAAATGCTTTTAGAAAGCAACAACTTCATGGACGAATTTTGCCGTTTCCACATCCAAGCGGAGCACTTCCACTTGTTCCTCGAGCCATTCATTTCCAGAGCGTGGGACAAAGATTTCCACCACCAATTGTGAGGAATCTACCAGGACCAGTGCAGTTTGCGCCCACAGCAGCCCTTGAACCCATTCCTCCCTTGCATGAACTCGGCCCGTTGCATACGCGAGAACAGGATGTAGGCCCTGCGCATGATTTTCCCTCAGTCGGGCCAGTTGGTGAGGTTGCACCTGATCAAGAAGTAGCTGGCATGCGCGGAATGGATCTTAACGATGTTGCTCCTGTGCGAGAGATTGGTCCTGTTCGCGATATAGGTCCCGTGCATGATATAGCTCCCGTACAGGAGCTAGGTCCTGTTCACGAAATTGGGCCCTTTCATGATATGGCTCCCGTGCAGGAGATAAGTCCTGTTCGCGATATAAGCCCCATGCATGATGTGGCTCCTGTGCGGGAGATTGATCCTATTCACGATATGGGCCCCCCGCCTGATATAAATGCTGGTCCAAATATCGCTCCAGTTCCTGATGATATCGCTCCAGCTCCACAGATGGTTCCAAGAACCTTCGATATCAGCCCCGATATGGCACCAAATTTTCAACCACCCAACAGTATGTTTGCGCCGCCATTTCCTTGGCTCGCGGGGGAAATCCACGAAAACGTTAACCGTCACGTTCACAAAGGCAAGTTAAGATAATTATTATAATTATTATTATTATCATCGTCATCGTCATCGTCATCATCGTCAACATCAATATCATCATCAACATCATTATCATTATCATTAACATTATTATTATAATTATTATCGTTATTATTTTTATTACCTCTTTATAAAATAACTGAGATAGTACGCGCGTTCTGATTGGTTAAAAACGTATGGTTTATTGTGCCGGTAAACTCATAGTAAACTTAAAGTTATTTTATTAAAGCAATAGACCACACTTTCTATGGGTTTACCGGCGTGATTACAAACTTTTCTCGTGTTCTCCCAGCATCCCGCGTGGGTTATCACGCCGGTTAACCCATAGAAAGTGTGGTCTATTGCTTAAATAATTATTATGTTGCTGTGTTGTCCTTTAAAAAGATTGCGAGTGAACGATTAGCATCTGAATGGAGTTGCATATAGAAACACAATTGCTCAAAAATAATGCTTGTTTCACTCTACTTGTCTGTTTTTCAATAAAACGATGATAATGCCTTCTTTTAGACCTCCGATACCTTTCCAGTCTGCGTGATACTTTGTTTGACGATAGTAGAGAAATAACAAATATTGGTTATGTCACATTAAATTATTGGCACATCACACCCTACAAGTTATCCCCTTAAAACCACCAACAACGTTCAAAATAATTTTGTGACTGGTGACTTTTTTGAGCAGGAAAGCTGGGTGTGACTTTTAGTATTGTAATTTTTTATTGCCGATGGTGATTTTCATGTCTGCAGGTGTTTCCAAAGCCAGATGTAGTCCAAACCCCTGCAGAAACGAAGGCACGTGTACAGCGATCGACAAACACTACGAGTGCACGTGCGCCGTTGGATATATGGGAAGGAACTGCGAGGGTATGTTAAGTGTAATAGTCATATTCGAATTATTATTTTTTTTCATAGTTAATATATTGAAATGGTTATGAAACCCGTTAGACTTCTTTGTTATGTTTCTGTTAGATTTTTTTGAGTCGACAGTGTACAACGTTCAATAGCATTCCCATCATTTTGAACTTATTGACCAATAGGAACATCGCATTAATTTATTTAGTCATCGTTTCTGAACGAAAAAAAAACTAAGAATTGCGCATGGTCCAGGGACCGCCAGGGAGCATCCAACATGAACCGCAGCAGCATCGTTTACATCCTGGATGTTTCCGGTTTTCACAACCAGTCTCTTCTTCTAAATATGGTGTCTCTTAGATCATTTTCCTTCCTCCACATAATTCAATAGTGAGCTTGAGCAAACGTCAACCGGAAGTAGACTGTTGTTCATCAGTTAGTTTACCCAAATTTTCGGTCAAATCGCCTTTATGAGACTATAGACGCTTAGCAATACAAATTTGAAAAGAGTTATGACAATTATACAGAGAAAGGGGTCAACTTCGCTCGAAGACGCCTATGCTTAAACTCCCTAATATCATTTTTTAGCTTTACGAGAAGAGTAGCAGAGTGGAAGTAGCGAAGTTGTATTGTTTATACAGCTCCCGTTGCCTTGGAGTTTCTTTTGTCTTTGCCGTCAGAGTCGCTTTACGATGCAATTGACCGATTGAATATTACTCTCGGATATCAGGAAAGAAACTATTCAAACAAGTAACATATTGTGGACATATTTGATTTAGATGTCAATCACTGTCTTCCAAACCCATGTAAAAATGAGGGCAATTGTTATGCAACCAAAGATGGATATCACTGCACATGCGTGAAGGGATTCAAGGGACCAAACTGTGACAGTAAGAGCCAATTCTACATAGAACATGTTACATTTACTTAACTACTGTAAATCAGTTGATAAATTAAGAACAAAGACATGAAAATGAAACAATTTTCAATAGGGGATTGAGAAGGAGAGAGGACCGATTCAACTTTCACCAAGACTTCCGGGATTGTTTCTAGAGACCGTGCCCGTTACATTTGAAAGTGTCGTTTCCTGCACCCCAGGTTTACCTATCATTATTCGTTTCTGGGAAATTACCCACCCACCCCTCCTCTCAGCTAACATTAACACTTACTTCTCACTCAGGGCAAAATGCTGGCTTAGGGAAGGGGTAGGTGGGCAGTTTCCCAACCTTAGCCTGAGTGGTAGAAAAGGCAAGAATAACCTCACAAATAGAAATAATAGCTTACCAGCCTCGATTTCTCTGTCGGTACTGTAAGTTTCAGATGATCGCTTTATCTGTGCAGACTCGGTTAATATAGTATCGTATTTACAGAATCTTTATCTTAATGTTATCTCGTCAGTTATCAGCAAGTGTATTCCAAGTCCTTGTAAAAATGGAGGGTCATGTGAAGAGGATGGCAAGTCATATAAATGTTCATGCCCTTCTGGTTTCAAAGGAAGTAACTGTGAAGGTATGTTCTCTTTCAACCTTCGGAATAAAGGATAAGCTCCTCTTTTTATGAGGGCGGCCAAATTCAAGCCCACAAATATAAGTCCCCTGACAGAGGCCTTTGAAAGGTACGCTTGCAAGCCCCTCTTTTCCTTTCTTGTCTTGTCTTTTTTATGGTATTGGGATCAAAAAGTGCGGCAAAGTTAATCAGGATCTGTAAAACTGGCGACCGATGTCATGAATCCCTGAAATAGTTCTTTCTTTTGTGCTGGTACATGTACCTATATATTCGTCAGTAAACCGCTGTTGTCAATTAATATTGGTTGTCAGTCGGAAAATACTAGAACTGACTTGTCATCCGAAGGGCTAAATGGATTTCTGTTAGTCTCAAGAACTTATTATTTTTAAGTCAATAACTGATATATTTTTCATTTTTGTATTTCTTTTCTTTCAGCCGCAGATCACTGTGCGGTCAGCAACCTCTGCAAAAACGGTGGCATATGTATTAACGGAGAATATTCCTTCGAGTGCAAGTGCTTGCCAGGTTTTTATGGAAAAGACTGTGGAGGTATGGTATCTAAACTTGCCTGTGTGGCTGCGCATGCGTCACAGACGTTATCTAACCCCGTTTAGTAACGTCTGCGAAGCAGCGCCCATATCCTTGTTCTGGGCCCTTAACGGACTCAATGAATTACCGGAAGTACGTTTCAAATTTCCTTTCAACCTGATTGGCAAATTGATAATGGCTTTTTTAACGGGTCAATCATGGCGCGTAGTCAAATCCTGGTACACAAGTGGGGCCCAGACCAAGGATTTCGGCGCTGTTTCGCAGAAGGACTTGACCAGAAGTTTAGATCCGTCGTTGGTGCAGACTAGGTCTAAACTCGTTTTTTTTGTTTGTTTGTTTGTTTGTTCGTTTGTTTATGCTTCATGTCAAATTTCATTTGTGGACTTAACTTTATTTGATTACATTGATCAAAACCCTCTTTAGCTGGTATGTTTTGTTTTGTTTTGTTTTTCATTTGTCTTTTTATAAACTATGCTTACATATACATGTGAATAAGACAAATTTGAAGGAAACAGTTCTCTGGAGTATTATCACATGACCTGCATTGGGAAAACAAAGCACACAAGCTAAAGAAGTCGGTCTATTGAACTGAATCGAAGAACATAAAAAGAACGAGTGGGAAGTATCTTTTTATTTAATTGTTATCATTTATCTTTTTTTTCCTAACAGATTTAGATGTTTGCTTTTCGAGCCCTTGTCAAAATGCTGGAACTTGTCATAATGCTGGAGCGGGCCAGTTTATGTGTTTGTGTCCAGCAATCTTTAGAGGGATAACATGTGAAGGTAACATAACGAAAACGTTCTTACAATGTCTGTGGCACCAAAGGGCGTACATTTTCCATTTGTCTTTGGTCTTCCCTCTGTTATACGTTCGTGTGCAACCACCCCCCGTAAGCGAGCGACTCCCATATGCGACCACAGATCCAAAACACTTAAAGTTTTCCGAGTCAAAGCTCTATGATTAAAGACCATCTCTCGTTAGCAACCGCGATTACTTTGAGGTGCTACGGTTGTGTAATTTTCGGCCATAATTTTTAACTTCTTTTAAGAGGCCACTTGACGCATGGTATGGTCTGTTTGTTCGCTGAATGTACTGCGCCACTCGGAATATACGAAGAGATTTCTCTAACAGCTTGAAACCACACATATCACTACTTAGAAATGGCATACAATAACTTTTCTTCCCAAAAGTAGATGCGTCAGGACCTCTTCTCGAAAGAGACCCTCCGTAGTTCGATTCTCGTAAGCGACCACTCAAGTCGATAGGGTCGTTAGCTCTTGTAAGTTATAGCGATGCTTCAACAAGTGATGACGTCATTTCAAAGATGGCCGCCGTCTTGGATTCAGCCGAAGATTATAAGGATTTCGTTAAGAAAAGATTTATAAAACGTAAATTGTCGTAGGTTATTTGTTGATCTTCAAGGCGATCATGCCAAACATACAATTTTGATAGAAACGCATTGAATAATTGAAAGTGTTTGTATAAGTCTTGGGGAAATAGCCATGATGTTGTATTGTCTTCTTGCATGATTTCCTTAACCCAATCTTTCTCAAGGATTTTTTTAATGAACGTTAAAGCCTTCATATCAAGGACTGCTCCATAACAATTTTTGAATGCTTTATTGCTACATTCACTCCATTTACAGAAAGGGTACCAAAATGCGAGACACAGCCTTGTCACAATGGAGGAACGTGTGTGGAAGATGATCATGACGAAGAAGGATTCCAATGCACTTGCTCTGAAAAATATCAAGGGAAACATTGTCAAGGTACAAAGCGTAATTTATATGATGGTGACTCAAACCCAATGAAGAGTTAATGTCAGGGAAATTGTACGTGTGTACGCGCGTAAATAGAGTAGAGGCAATATACAAGTACTTTAATTAAGGCGCGTAAAATTTGCCTCCATGAACACGTAAAAATTTCGCGATGGTAGAAACCCACCTTAAAGGTTTTTTTTTACGCCGACTTGGCATTTACAAAAGACAAAGGCCCATCCCGCTAGTAGAATTTTAAGCAGACTTCGATGTGGTTACACCTTGCTGCTCTGGGAAGAAAAAATGTTATACCTGGTGTAGAAGCTGCCCATGCCCACCTACCCCTACCCTAAGCCGACATTAACACTTACTTCTCACTCGGGGCAAAATGTTGGCTTAAGGGAGGGGTAGGTGGGCAGTTTCCCAGAAACATAAGGAGTGTTTGCTGACATGAATAGTTCTGATGTAGGACCTTTTTTTCCTAGAAACGTGAACTAGGAGAGAAGGTGAACAAATCCTATTTTCTTTGACTCCCCATTTTTAGGTCGCAGTGTCCCATTCAAAATTTGCGTCAATTTCCAGTGACAAAAAACTACGTTGTTAAATTCAAGTCTATTACTGAATCATTTTTTTCCCGTCGAAGCGATCCCAATCCCAGTTTTACTCGTTCAAGACCCTTTTATTAACTGAATTGTACGCGTAATTGAAAGGTATAGAAGAAACTCCTAAATATTCGTTTGCTCTGAAATCAACTTGCGCCAGTTGTTCAAAAGGTGGATAGCGTTATCTACCGGATAAATCACTCTCTATTGGAAATTGCAATTGATTTCCCTAACACTTATCCACTGGATTTTTGTTGATATAAGCCTTACGAAGCCAATGTTTCAAGAATCCCTGCTTGAATGAAGGAAGGTGTATTGACGTTGGCGATACTTATAAATGTATCTGCAAAGAAGGATATGATGGCTCGACATGTGAAGGTATGTAGACTATGTGGACAGCTTACAATTTTCTTTAGTTTACTTTTTACCTGTCTATCGCAAAACAGGGTACATATATCGCACGGAGAGAAATCTCGCAAGTTAAAGTACGACCAATTTTGACTTTTGTTCTCCCTTGATCTTGAGTTCGTCACTAACTAAAGAGTCGCCCCATGTAATGGAGTCCTGATTCCGCATTCCGGGAAATCTTGGCTTGTTGAATCCGGAATTAAGTGCTTTGGAATCCGGAATACAGCTCAAGGAATCCGGAATCCCACTAACGATTGGAATCCGGAATCCAAGTTCCACTGACACAGAATCCGTAATCCAGTACCTGAAATCCGGAATCCACCGCTGTGGAAACCAGAATCCAAGACTGTCTTGGATTACTTTATATGGGGCGAAAAGAGATGGTAGCGAAAAGAAAACAACATACCGTAAAATTCCGAAAATAAGCCCCGAGGCTTATATTTTTGAAAGGCCCCTTTAGAGGGGCTTATTTTTGGAGGGGCCTATATCCGGAGGGGCTTATGTACGGAGGGAAATTTGCGTTATAAAATCGGTTGGGCTAGCTTGTAGTGGAAGGGAAATTTAGCATTTTTGCTTTGTTTTACTTCGTATTCGAGGGCAAATTCCAAGTACACGCCCCTCAGGGGGGTTATATTCGGAGGGAAGATTTAACGGAGGGTTTTTTGCGTTACGATCTTGGGGGACTTATATTTGGAGAGGCTTATACATGGAGAGTCTTATTTTCGGATATTTACGGTATGTTTATAACCCTTGCTTAGAAGTACTCACTTTTAGCAATAAACATAATGTGACTGGTGTTTCTGTTTTAAATCTAGTGAAAATGCCTCTTTCAACATGTAGCAACTGCCACGAATACGCGAGATGCGTCGATGACAAATGTGTTTGCCTTGATGGTTACGTTGGAAACGGCAAAGTATGTGAAGGTATCTATGAAAGTTAGTTACTACAGTTGAATTATTGTGCAGATACGAATAAATAGATTTTCCAGTATCATAGGAGAACGGATTATATATTACGTTATTTATTTGATTAAAGAATGAAAAAAAAAAATTGAATAACCAGGCAAGGAAAGGTTGGTTTAAATAAGGAAAGCATCTATGATGCACATCACCTGCAAGATGCGAACTGATCATCTTAATATAATTCAGTTTTATCAATTTGGTTCTTTTGTCTAAAATCGTATATGAAAATAATACAAATAAACATTGAATGAAAGATTAAGTTGAACCAGAAGCATATAACCCCGAAACGTCGGTTTTTTTAGCCGACGCCGCTGTCCAATCAGAAGCATGGAAAATTATTTTGCCCAAATATGGAATCAGAGAATTCGAGGCTACAAACTTTGAGCTTGCAACGCTCATACATGTATTTCTACGCCCGAAAGAAATCGTTTCGTGGCATGATGGGATTATATGCTTCTGGCTGAACCGTCAGGAATGGAAGTTCTGAAATTTAGTGAAACTTAGCCTACAAAACCTAAATGGTGCACTTTGCAACAGTACCGAAGACAAAGCATTTGAAACGTAAGTATGGGGAGTTTACATTGTATGAATCAGTAGTGTCATTAATTCGTTAAACATGCTGCAACGATGGATAAATACAGCAGAACCTCGGTGACTCTTTTTCTGAAGGGATAACGAAAAACAGTTCGTGTTAGCGGGGAATTTGAGTTACCGGGGTAAATTTCAGTGAACTTTTGATAACGGGAAAGGAAATTTAGTTCGAGTTAGCGGGAATTGGAGTTAGCCGAGTTCGAGTTATCGAGGTTCTACTGTAGTTTTATTTATTGAAAGCTTTATTTGACTAAACTTAGCTGACAGAATGAAACTTATTTTTGTAGTGTTGAAAGGGAGTGTCATAAACATAACTTCATCTCCTATAAGGCCTCAGTCAAATATAGGTAAGGTCACTTTGAATTTTGTGTCAAGTTAAATTGACATACATTATATGATCGAGTTTTTGAGGATGATATTTGTGCTGAAAAAAAATCAAGTTATTCCTACCTTAAAATATCGTTACAAGCCAGTGTGAAAGAGATTCGTCATGTAGACGTGACGATTAAACAAATAAGGAGGAAAAAAACCGTTTCCTTTACCGTTGCTCTAATATATTCAGTTTGTCGAATGTCTTATTGATTGCTCATAATCATTGATTGCTCATAATCATTTATAACTTCTTTTTAATCGCTCAACATTTTCGACGAATGACCTCATAAACGCTCACTTCCTCATAAACGCCCCCTCTACGCTGTTAAAATTGTACACGCCCCTTTCTAGTAAACGCCCCCCTGTCTAATAGAGACCCGCTATGAGAATTACTTCAAATTACCAGACATCAGCCAAAACGAGGAAAATCATCCAATTCATTCAGTTTCTTGCTTGTTTAACAAGGCTTTGCATATTTTATGTAATGTGGTCAAGTTCAAAATTATGGTAGACTAACGATGGGAAAAAACTAACCTGAAGCGAGGATTCTAGGATTTGAAAGGGCGATATGGGTCTTTGACCGCCTAGACGTATCAATTGATCGAGTGGATATTCCGCTCTTTTTTACTCTCTTGATACTTTTTGCCTAGAGCATACTTAAGTTTTGATGAGCTTGCTATAGTTATGAGAATAAACGCCTCCTATATATTAAACGCCCCCACTTGGACCCCAAAAATTAAATAGACGCCTCGGGTCTTTATTTGGTCATTTACGGTACTTTAATGGACACACCCCCGGAAGTAAATACTAGAGCGCGTAAATACCAAGCATTGTTTCATTTATTTTGTTTTTCTCTATTTGTGTGTAAGCCAACGTCATGTCGAAGCACGTCCAGACTCTTAATTCCTAATGTTAAAAATTGTAATGTGTCCATAGCGATATCACATCAGAGTTTCTGTCATCCCAATCCTTGTTACAATGGAGGAACTTGCAATGAAGCAATTACAGGCTTCTCTTGCGCATGTCCGTCAGATTACACGGGACCTTTCTGTAAAGGTAAGAAATATTATGCTTTTCGTTAACCATTCTTTAAAAAAGGACAACTTGGTCTTTCAGTTAGCTTGCGAGCAAGTTTGGGAGAGCCATTTGGGAGAGTCACGCGTGAGCGGCACGCGAGACGAGACGCAAAAGACGACGTTCTCTCGCGGCTCGCGTCGCTTGCAAAATCTAAGTTCAGTTTGAAACTTTGTTTTAACATTCGTCTTAGGCGCCACGAATTCTGAGCACAGTACTTTGGCCCGTTCAATCCGCTGGTTTGACTTCACCTAGTCGAACTAGGGTGATGGCTAAAATATGCTGTTAGACTTATCAGTTTATTTATGACTATAATAAACCAAAATTATCCTGAAGACGTTAATGAACTGAACATACGAAATCATAAGGTCCAGCCATCATGGTTCTTTATACGTCTCTGGGAATCTGCCACCGACCCCTCCCCTAAGCCAACATCAACACTTACTTCTCACGTAGGGTAAAATGTTGGCTTAAGGGAGGGGTAGGTAGGTAGTTCCCCCGAAACGTGTAACGGTCCCCATGGGATGGTAATGGGGTAGCTTAGACGTTACATCACTAGCAATTTCTGACAAATATGAAGCTTTTGCCAAATACCTGTGTGGCGTTTATGCCCACATATATGTCTTATGTTTCTCTTCAGGTTTTTATTCCTTTTTTTCGTCTCCTGTTATGCTTTCTACGAAGGCTAACCCATAAAACATTGACTATGAAGTTCGTTAGTGAGTTATCAGTCCCGTAAAACCTTTTACAAAGTTGTTTTTCAATTTAACAACAGATATAAAACCTTGCTTGGGTAATCCCTGTCAAAATGGAGGAACGTGTATTGACGAAGGACTTGCTGGTGACTACATATGCAGATGTAAAGAAGGATATAACGGCAAAAACTGTGAAGGTATGTTCGCAGATTATAATGCCTTGTACTGTGGTGAAAGTAAAATACTCAGTTTCCCAGTTATCGCAATAGACCATGTTCGATTTGGACTAAGCCTCTGTTTCAAAACGAGACTAAGTGCGAAGCTATTGACCACAAGTTATTTTTTTATTCTCATGCAAATAAAACTCATTTTCTCAAGAAAGGATTTTCACTTGGCCTCGTTTGAAAGAGAGAGTTTTTGTAACTCGGCAAGATGGCATATTATTCAATATCCCTAATATTCACTAATTAACACAGTGTGTCGTGATTTAGTGTCTGGCATCTGCTAGATCCCGATATCCTCGTTTCAGTTTCTATTCATGACACTTGACAAACAAATGTTAACTTTATACTGTCCAGACAACTCTCATGTCGGGTAGAATCACTTCCAACACGTCATTTCCGAGTTGCTCAAGCCCCTGTTTCAAGATAAGGTTTAGTGCAGAGCCTTTAATATGAAAATGTTTTTTATTCCCATGCAAATAACAGGAAAGAAATGTTTTGCTCTTAGCCTCGTTTAAAGGCAAGAGTTTTTGGAACTCGTAAATGGCCTATTAACGATTATTTTTAATTTAATATTTTTTTTAGGGAGCGTTCTAACTACTGCACTGCTATTTAATGCCAACTCGTCAAAATCTCAAAATCTTGTAGATATTGTGTTCAATAGAGCTAGCTTAAGAAGTCCTCGACAATATAACGTCGTTTTGTACACTATCGTCACGAAAACATTGTTTATCAATTTGTGACCTGCACTTACATATATTGCTGGTTTGTACGTGACGTCATGGCAGCCATGTTGATGGTCAAGAACAAAAGCATTTCTATCTGCTGCAAGCTTAACTCCATTTTCATTGTATTGACCAACAACATGGCCGGCATGTCACGTGGTTGCAAACCAAGAATACTTTACGTATTTTGTTTTCAGATGCTGGGGTGTGCCTACCAAACCCGTGTCAAAATGGCGGCACATGTCATCAGAGCCATAACACTTACGTTTGTCAGTGCACAGATCGTTTTGAGGGACATACCTGCACAGGTGGGTAATAATTGAAAATTCACATGTGTTGAGTCAAATACTGCTTTTACCACTTTTTACGTCTTTATGTATTTATGTCTATTGCGTATGCTTCTGATGAGCTGAAGAGAGTGTTTGCCCCGGTATCTGTCAAATTGCCCTTCTGTCTTGTACATCATGTCCTTTGAGCCTTGCTTTTAAAAGGAATATGTGCATTGAGCTTTGTAAATGCGCCGTATAAGAATGTATTTATTGTTAATATCGACTTGACATTTTTGATTCGATTTTTTGATAAAACATGGAGGACTTATTTTATGCAATTATTCACAGAAAATCTTGAAGCAGCGTTTATATCATTTATAAACAGAGTAGGACCTAATGCGCGATGCAGAGACCTAATACTGCTTCACAAGTTATTATAAATTTGCAAATTGAAATCTTGGAGAAGTCGCAGCCGTTTAATTTTTTTTCGTATATATCTTTAAGACTTTGAGAAAGTTCTATCTAACTTTTGGTTTCTTTAAGAATTATGCCCTAGAAACCCTTCGTTGATGCTGGCGAACAGCTCTTTTGCATTTTCTTCGAAACATGCTATAATAATTTCACATAATGGAAAGCAAAGAAAGAAGAGCAAGCATCCATAAGAAAATTTATTTGTGTGATGAGATTTTTTTTCTTTGTAGAGGACAAATGCGCGAGATGCGATGTCCATGCGCATTGTGAGAATGGAAAATGCGTTTGTGATGGTGGCTTCTATGGTGGGGGGACCCGAGGGGATTGCTTTCGGATTGGAGGTGAGTTTTTAGTGCGTTTTTACATGACGTCACGTCCGCCATATTGGTGCCCCAAAACAATACTCATCTCCATACTCCAAAATGACGTTTACACATTATGATACATACGCAAAGTATATCTCTACAAAGGAAGGAACCACATTGACTATCAATACTGATTAGGTTAAGCCCTGAGAATATTGATTAGGGTTAAGTATTGACTCGAAAAACGGTTATCTTCTATTAAGGGTTAAGGTTGTTGCTAGGTCAAGAACAAAAGCCTTTCTCTCCTCTGGTAACTAAACTCTATTTTCACATAAATTCTTGGAGAAAAAGTTATATTGTCTTTACCCCCAACGTGGCCGCCTTGTCACTTCTTTGCAAACCAAGAATATCAAGAAAAGTAATAGACCCGTCCGAATTGAAGGTTCTAGTACAAAATAAGATTAAGACAAAAAAGAAAAAAAGATAACAACTTTTTGGATAAATCAAAACGCGCAGTGTACCAAATAAACCTGCCCACATTTCGACTTTTTAAACCTCTAAACGAGACTAAACGAGCTTTTAGACAGTCTACATAGCCAAGTGTTTTGTGGCAAACCGTCACAAACAAATCCGAAATATAGTAACACCAAATTAAACCTTTCTTTCTTTCTTTCAGCGTCTAATCCAAGGTTCTGCGTACCCAATCCTTGCCAACACGGTGGATCTTGTTTTGAAGAGCCTAACAGCCATCGATGTCTCTGTACTTCCGGCTATCAAGGCGGAAATTGCGAACTTTCTATTGGTAATTAGCACTTTAATAACTGTATACAGTCAACTTCGTTTATAGCGGGCACTGTGAGGACCTCGAGTTAGTCTCCTCATTAGCGAGAGTCCGGGATAGCGGGGGTTTATTTCAGTCAAACGTCTGCAATTAATTTTTGCCAGGGATTTAGGTGCTGTCCGTTATATAGGGGTGTCAACAAGGCGCGAGTTGACTGTAAGGTGAAGTTCGTTGGTTAATGAAAATTCTAAGCAATGCAAGTTACACTGAGTCATACTCTTGATAATGGATTTGGTGATACATTCAACAAGACAGACTCCATTGGCACCGACACTATGTGTCCTCTTTTGGGAGATATCCGTCTTATTGAGAGTCAGCTATAAGGAGTAAAGAAAGGTAGAGCCCATTTCGATATGTCCGTTGTTGCGAGGTGTCCGTTTTATATAAGTGTCCGTTTAAAGAGAGTTGATTTCAGTGTAAAGGCTTGCGTGTACATGCTGCCAGATGCTCTTCGATACATGAACGCTGGTATCTCTTGATAATTCCCCACTCCAGCAATTACCGGTATCAGGGGAATGGTTTCAAGCTTTTGAAACAACGATTTCTGGGATAGTTTGGAGGTGCAAGCGATGGTATTCAAGGCAACCACTAACCAGCCATATGTAACGCTTGTCCACCCTACCGATCCCAAAAACCTTTGCGCCGAAAGCTTGTACCCATTCTCCTTTCATTTTCTGGAGTGGAAAAAAAAAAGAAAAAGAAACAGGTCACAATTTGAAAAGAGCATTCAAGAGATTACTCCGCTCTTAATCTAAACCTTTTCTGTCTTTAAAAAGCAGCTATTTTAGTTTGAAATTTGGTTAATTTCCAGGTTGTCTCTTCTTTTTATGCTTTTTTTAAGGCGCTGCCCCTCCTGTTACGAGAACACCGGACCCTTGTACTGGAGAGCCTTGTTTGAATGACGGGATCTGTGTTCCAAAAGGAACGAAATTTCGCTGTCTTTGTTCAGCTAGATTTCAAGGACCGACATGTGAACAGCGAGGTGAATGTATGCTAATTCCATAAATAGAAAATGCACTTCTCCAGCGGAATCTTCTCGTGTCCAATGGATCACCTATACTTAATACGATTTTTTACCACTGGACTTCCGCTTTTCCAATGGAATGCTAGAGGATACGACTAGAGTCTAGTTGACAGTATTGCAAAACCCTCCCCGTGTGCACGAGAGTATTGCTTGTAATGTATCAAGCTATTTTAGCTCATTTCTTAGTCTGCCTATCATTTCAGCAAGACAAAGATCAGATAAAGTTTTCTCAGTACAGTACTCTTTTATTAACGAATAGAGCAGTAGTAATTTTCAATGTAACAAAGGTATTTTGTAATCGGTGCGAAAACCTTTTTGTTTTTGCAGCAAAGTCCTATTGCCATCCTAGCCCCTGTCTGCACGGTGGATCTTGTGTTGATATAAAAGATGGGTACACTTGTCAGTGCCCAGGCTCCTACAGAGGAACTAACTGTGAAGGTATAACTATCAATTCTCTGCAACCAAGAGACAATAATGCAGGGTTTTCACAGTGTTGAAAAGTCCTTGAATTTTAGGGGAAGTCCTTGAAAAGTCCTTCAATTTTCTTCAGCTTTGAAAGTGTTTTTTATGCTTTTCTGGTTATCGAAAACCAGTGGCGGATCCTGGGGAGGGGCCCGAAGGGCCCGGCGTCCCCCTTATTTTTCGACCGAAATGAGGCCCGAAGGGCTGAAAAAAATTGTTTTGGAGACCAGGGCCCCCCCTCCTTATCTCAGGGTCTAGCTGACGCCCCCCGCCCCTATCTGAAGGTCTGGATCCGGCACTGAAGACAGAGTATAAATCATAGCTCAGAGAAGTTAATGGTGATTTTTATTATATGGAGGAGAGTGTTTTACTGGGAACCAAACCACTCGTAGATTCCATACGCCACTTCATCCGGGACCCGAGTGGCGTATTTTCCGTATGTCACCTTTGTGAGTGTCGTATCGTTCAATGACGTCACGTTCGAAGATATGAATTTTATGTTCTCGTGGCAAGAACAATATCTCACTCGTTCGCTTCGCTCACTCGTGAGATATTGTTCTTGCTACTCGAACATAAAATTCATATCTTCTCGCCACCGTGTAATATCCTCTATGTATGAAGCGTTTTTATTTTATGCAATAGTTGACCATCAATTAAGACAAGAGAACTGAAAAATGTAGAGAAGTTGGTGGAACAAACAGCTCAAGCCTTTAAATTCTATTAGAATGGACTGGGAATGTGCATTTTTGTACAGTCTGTCAAATTGCATTCCTGGTAGGCGGTCCTTGAAAATCGAATGAGGTCCTTGAAAAGTCCTTAAAAAATGGTTGCAATTTTTTGTATGAACCCTGCGATGGGATAGAAAGGAGAACTAAGGGCGTTGGCCGGGATGAGTGAATTTAATAACCTGAGAAAACAGCCGACATTTGGCGACGCTACCACTGGTTTCCCCGCCAAATGACGTCCGAGAAACGAGCGCAGAAATTCCATACTGATGACGCGTCACTACCCAGATTTGGGTAGTGCTTCTGATACACTCCCTTAAAAGAGGGGCTTCCTCGCTGCAACTGTAGACAAGTTATTGAAGAACACCCATGTAGCCCCTTCACTGTAAATGGAACTAAAAACATCAACCACGATATTTTTTATTTTTCAGTGGATGATTGTGATCAGTGCGATATTAATGCCATTTGCGTGGAAGGAGCATGCAGATGTAGAATTGGGTATAAAGGCGATGGGTTCGAGTGTACAAAAGGTACGTAAATATGTATGTCAGTCAAATACTTTAACGCTACTTTTACTTTTGTCATAACGTTAGAAAAGTTTTAAATCCGTTCATTGCAGCTAGCCATTTACGTGGCACAAAGCCGCCACGCTTGAGAGCGAAAGTCGTAAAGGAAGTTACCACTTACGATTATGTATCAGTATGCCTTTTGTTTGTCTTGTCCCAGTGCGACTTTTGCTCTCCAGCATGGCTTTTTGTACTACGTGAATGGCTAGCTACAAAGGGCCTATAATTGCATGGAATCCCCAACAAAACCTCGTATCAAAACCAAGTTCGGAAAGGGTAAGAACATAAAAGTACCAAGAATACTGTCATAGTCACTACAGGGGGAAGGGGCGTATTCCCTATACGGGGAGGCTCCACCAGAGAGGGGCACCTTTTTCAGGCTTCAGGTATATGAAAGGGCAGGGATTTCACTAGTTAAAGTATATAAAAGGGTAGCAGAAACTGTCATTTCGGTTTGTTAAATGGCCCGAAAGGGTTATTAGAGGCATTTTATGCCGGCTGTGAAAGAGTCGAGGAGACGTTCTGGTTTTGTGATTTATTCGTGTTTGATAGACAGTGCATTTACAGCCTTTGGTATTTGAAAGGGGTACCATTTGTCAATAGAAGGTATAGGAAAGGGTACCTTTTTCTGTAAAAGATGTTGTATAAAGGGGATAAGGGGTTGTACCTAGGGGCCGGAGCCTACCCGTATACAACTTCCTTGAGTACCCCTCCCTCCCCCCCCCGGAACCAGCAAAGTTAGCTGAGAGTGAATATTTTCCGTTCCACAGTCGTGTCTGACGTTGGTAAAAGATAACTTTTGTATTTATTTTGCTTAAGATATTAACTTATTTTACAGTTAAAAAGTGTGGCCACTGCAGCCCTAATGCAACATGTGTCAGGGATGAATGTGTCTGCAAACCGGGATTTATTGGAAATGGGAAACACTGTCAAGGTAATTTATAAGGTCATTATAAAAAAAGTGTGATGAAGATAGAGCGATGAAATGAAAACTCGCGAACAAAACAGAAACAACGTACAAGCGAACGGAAGTAGGGCGATTTGATTGGTTTATCCAAACGCGCGTGGCTTTTGGTTGGTTAAGCTAACGCTCGGGTGAAAAAACTTCATCCTCGAGAACTTTCTAGAAATTAATCGATACTTCGCTTTGACGTCATACTGCAACACGATTGGCCAATCGAAACAATGCATTCTCCATATTAGGGCTTTTTTTGGCGGGAAAACGAAGTGTTCATGTTTTAATTTTTTCATCCATTGGCTGATAAAACAAATAACGAACACTAATTTTACCGAAACCATTTTTGAAGGTCATACGAAAATCGCTGTAGAGGTACAGTGAAATCCCGGTTTTTCGAACCAGCTTGATAAAAACAAATTCGAATTATCAGGCGGTTTGAAAAATCGTGGGTAAAATTACAGTGTTTGACTGGTAAAGGGAGGTTAGGTTTGGTTCCAATTATTGGGAATTTCGAAAAACTGAGGGTTCGAGAAATCGGGATTCACTGTAGTATAATAAAATAGAAGAAAGTTATTTTATGTTGTAGTTCTCAGTAAGCGCTGTTTTCGTTCCTTGACATTAAAAATAATTGTTCTGGAGCTAAAAACCTTTAGGCTGAAAAGGACCGTATAAATCACCCCCTTTTATTACGAGTCTCCATCGCCAATAACATTACGGCTTAACTGACAGACCACTGATGATATCGCGACTTAATTGACCAATCAGGTCAATAACCAGAGTCAAATACCATCCAGTGACGTGATACGAGTCACTTTGACTCTGAAGATGAATACCGCACAGGTTGTCGAAACGTCAGTCACTGTCAACAACAACAGTCCTATTCAGGACTATGTTCACCCTGTCGATCATGTTCAACCTACTTATGAAATGACTCCTAGGTTCAAACCTTTCACAAAGAAAAGTTTATAAACAACGTCTCGCCTTCTTCATATCAGTGCTAGTGTGGGACTGAATTATTGATTGCATCAAATGGAAAGGCTTAGGAAATTGGGATCATTACACGTTTCTGGGAAAGTTCCCACCTACCCCTCCCCTAAGCCAACATTTTGCCCTAAGTGAGAAGTAAGTGTTAATGTTGATTTAGGGCAGGGGTAGGTGGTAATATCTAGAATATTGTTTTCTATAGAGGATGACTGCAAAGGCTGTCCACCCCATTCACATTGCCTCAGGGGAATTTGCATTTGTGTACCAGGTTACTACTTTGATGGTCATCATTGTGTTGGTAAGTACGTGATACAAGTCTTTGTTACCACAATAGAGAGATTTAGATTCTGAGACGAGCATGACTACGAGTACGAGATTTTCTCAATACGGAGTATTGCTCACACGCGTCAATTTGGCCTGAAAAACGTCGCGAAGTGATAGCCATCGTCATTCTACTACGCGTTTTAGCGAGAATGTCGTAATGGCGGGAACAAATTATCAAAAGTAAGCAGTTTTATCATTTTGCTATCGGGAGAGGGCTTAACCTCCTTCAGTATAAATAACCGTACTAACTTTTTTGGTGAAAAAAGTAAAATAAAACTTTCCGGGGTGTCTTTTTTTCGACAACACGCGCAAAAACTTTCAGTTAAATCTCGTACTTGTACTCGTTCTCGTCTGCAAATCTAAAGCTCTATATTTATTTCTTCAAAAAAATGAGCTTAAGAGAAAACTATTCATTGGTAATATAAGATCGGCAGAAAGAACTGAAAGACCATCTCTTGACAAATCAAACGTGATTTTACTGGTGCTTGCTTATTACTGATTTAAACTGAGTTGCTGCTGCCATTTACTTGGACATGGCATTGTCCAAGCTCCACTGCTTAAACGCCCTAACAGCTTATTGAGACTGCATTTTCTCAATGCTAAAACGTGTTGTTTACCCAATCTTAGAGGATTCGTTTTGTTTCGTACACTTTAACAACCCTTCTTGTACAAATTTGCTATTCTTGCTTATCTCACCTGGACGCTGCTTACTTATGCTATTTCGAAAACAATTCTAGTTAAGCAATTGGTCATGCTCGCTTATGTAGTTTACAGCTGCTCCGTGGAGCGTTTCTACTCACTTAGCCAAAATATATGCAAATTCACTGGAAAAAAGAAAGTGTTTACATGAGAAAAGACTTTACGTGAGAAAACATTTTCTTGGTACACTTAGGGTTCGTACAGAGTCTTGAATTCTTGAAAAAGTCTTGATATTTGCCCCAAAATTTTCCAGACCTGGAAAAAGTCTGGAAAACAGAGATTAAGTCTTGAAGAAATTGTAAAAAGAGTTTTTTTGAAAGTTACAATAAGTGCTTTACGAGTGAAATTTTTTTCGTGCTGGTCAAATCTTATTCAATCTCGCTTGTACGTTTGCAGTGCATCATGGAAAAAGCTTTGTTCCTTCATTTAAAGGTCTCTATTGATCACCCATTTCATAACCTTGAAATTGTTGTTTTGGAAAAAGTCTTGAATTTTAGATCCAAAAATCTTTACGAGCCCTGTACACTAACATGGCCACCTTTTCGTTGGTTGGAACACCAATATGGCTGCCGTGACTTCATGTAAAAACGCCATGTTATTAGCTATATCGATATCATGTTTAACACTCGACCGTTCTCTCTGAAGTAAGGCTACGTTACAACGGCACCAGACGAAATTTTAGACCGGTTGAAATTTTGTGCGTTCATGATCAGTTGCTCCGTAAACGCGAAGCCACCTTAACCGTACGAAAATTTAGACGCTTGGCAGTTCAAATGTCCGCGTGAACAAAGCGAAAATATTGAAGGGTCCCCTGTGAACGAAGTGTTCGGTCAAATTTTTCAGCCGGTCGAAAATTCGTCCTGTGCAGTGTGAACGTAGCTTAAGTTTAACCCTTTAAGCTCCAATATCCAAATACAAATTCTCCAGACTGATCCTCATACATTTCCGCAATGAATAGGTTAAGAGAATTTGTATGTATATCAAAGCTTTTCCAATAACTGATGGGAAAAGGTGATCCTTTTATTTACTCTCACAACATTTTCCTTTGATTATGTATTGATTTTTTGGGGAGAAAATTGACTTTGGTCACCCTTGGGACTTAAAGGCTTAAAACGTTGAAATTCCTTTTGCAGCAGGAGCAGTGCATGCGCCTTAGATGGTTGATCACGTGACTGGACTTCTGACGTTTTGATATTCTTCCTGTTTCCCAAAGCCGCTGTGCATAAACCGTCACTGGCCCCAAGCTGCCCTACTGAGTGTACCCAAGTAACCACTTGTCCTTCAACTTGCCCGGATCACTGCTGTGAAAAGCCTGAGTCCCATGCGGCAGTTGGTTGCCCAAGTCATTGTAGCTTTAGTTGTGGAACAGGGTGCCTTGATCATTGCTGCAATCCTCCTACTGTGTCAACTCTGCCGATATGTCCTTCTGAATGCCACACAAGCTGTCATGAGTTATGCCCCATGCACTGTTGTAAAGTTTCTTCATTTTCCGTATCTCTTTGTCCAAGCCATTGCAAGACTACGTGTGATCCTCTATGTCCCAGTCACTGCTGTTCACAACAGCTAACTCCAGCCGCTGCCTCGATACAACCGACGTGCAACCCTGTCTGTCAGACACATTGCCTTCCTGAGTGCCCGAGAGTTTGTTGCAAATTCAAGTTTGTTCTGCCCTCGACCTGTCCGAATCATTGCCAGGAAATATGCGACTCGTCTTGTCCCACACACTGTTGTGTATCTCAACACGTTTCCTCCATGGAACAGGCACCATCAATACAAGAATTGCAACCGACGTGCAATCCAGTTTGTCAGTCGCATTGTCTCCCTACGTGCCCCAACTTTTGCTGCAAATTCAAATTTGTTCTGCCCTCAACCTGTCCAGATCGTTGCCAGGAAATATGCCAATCGTCTTGTCCTCCACACTGCTGTGCGTCTCAACACGTTTCTGCTATCGAACAGTCGCAATCAATACAAGAATCGTGTCCAACTATTTGTAGTTCCAACTGCTTACCATCGTGCCCACCTTTTTGTTGTAAGGTGTCTCCGCCGATGCCAAGCGCATGTCCAAGCAGTTGCTCCGTCAGCTGCCTTCCACCATGCCAACAACATTGTTGTCAAGAGCGCTATCCTCCTAATTTTTCAGTGCAGTCTCCTGCTATCTGTCCATCGCAATGTGCAATTCGCTGTGACAACATGTGCCCGGCACACTGTTGTCCTGCCTCATCCGAACAATCGTCATTTTTAACAAAATCAACGCCAGTAGGAAATGTGCAGCCGAACGTTTCGCCGCCGCAAAGCTATGCAGCACCTACATCATGTCCCAGTTCTTGCTCGTCGTACTGTTCACACGGTTGTCCCCAGTATTGTTGCATGGGGCGAGAAATATCTCCATACCTATTCAAAACCCCGGAACAAACAGTATCACCGGTTGGAAGGTCTCTTGCGGTTCTAGAGGCCGATTATAAGTCGAAAGTTGTACATCGTCTTTCAGAGTTACTATCAAGTCCTCTGAAGCTATGCAAGCCTTCGTGCTTTTCAAACTGTTCTGTTACCTGCCCTAAAATGTGCTGTGATGTTGGGAGAAAAAAGAAAATGTTTGTATATAAGCGCAAGAAAAGGCACAAATAACCAAACGGCGGAATAAAATGAAAAAGACGAAAACACACCGGTAAAGATCTTCAACAAAGGGCCACATAAAATAACTTTAATAGTTGCTCAAGAAAAGAATGTGTAGCTAAAAGATTTTGGTTCATTATACCGGTATTCTGTCGAATCGACGGAAAAAAAAACCGGAAAAGATCTTCAACGAAGGGCTATTCAAAAGAACTTAAACAGCTGCTCCATATAAGAATGTGTAACTAAACGTTTGTGGTACATTTTACCGGTATTCTTTAACGCATAGAACATTAGGGCCATTTATACGAGGAAAAATAAGACGCGTCTTAAATAAGACGCGAACTGTACCATTTGTACGAGCACGTCTTATCTAATAAGACGCGTCTTAGCTAAGCCGCGTCTTATTTTAGACGAAATGTGCCGTTTATACGGAAAGTTCGCGTCTTATTTAAGACGCGTCTTATGTAAGACGCGTCTTATTTTTCCTCGTATAAATGGCCCTAATGTCCACTATTTTCTGACTTATCTAACTTTTTTGTTTTCTTTTTCCCATGGAAAAGGAACTACAAACACGTGTAAATGCAACTGTGAACCTCTTTTCAGCATTTGCATGCAATATTATTGTAGAAAACAAAACGTAAGTTAAATTAGGAAAATTATTATAACTTGTTTTTGTCTTTTGCAACAAGTGCGTTCTATTATGTTATTCTTTTCGAAACTCCTCAAGCCAGACTCGATTTTTATAGACAAAAAAAACGTGTTTTCTCTATCAAAAATAGTTAAAACTAGAATTAATTGACTTTCCTTCCCTTCTTTACTATGGATATGTACTGAAAATAAATTAATAATGGATTGTTTCCTCGCCTTATTACGCTGTTGAACAATAGCATCGTTCACCAAGCTAAGGGAATACCGTAAAATTAAGGGCAGCTAAGGGCATTTCTCAAATTTCCCTAAATGTCATTTGGCACAAGAAAAGCTCTTTGCTTGCAACCTTAACGCGTCTACAATAGGTCGTCCTTTACCAAAAGGCGGGAAGGGTTATTCGCCATTGGCACGTCTCCCATAATATACCTTGTTCCCCCTCTCCCCTTAAAAAAGATGGACTATACGTTCAAGGAGTATTATGGGAGATGCGCAAATAGCGAATGCGTGTGATATATGACGTCACCCAAGGTTGCTATCATCAAGGCAAGATGACCACTCCTTTAATAGGCCATTTGCGAGTTGCCCCATGCCTCTGTTTCAAAGCGAGACTAAGTGCAAAGCTATTGATATGACAATGAATTTTTATTGTCATGCATTTCCACAACTTGACGTCGTTTGTAAGTGAGAGTTTATGGAACAAAGATGTGGGCTACTGCATTCTCGCACATTTTTAGAATTAAAAATGCGAAAAGCCGGGAACTATTTCTTGCCTTAAAGTTTCTTCACCTCCCCTTATTCGTTAGAGAGTACGAAAGATAACAATAGGTTTTCCAACTTTTTTTGGCCTTCTAGTTCCGGTGTTTAACAAAGTGCCAAACACGATATTCATTTAAACTCATATTATTAATTTTACATTCTGTATTACAATTTACCCTCCCCGAATGAACCCAACACCATATTTTTTTTAGAATTCAATTGATGCGAAGACTTATGCTAGCTTTTCAGAAAGATACCAAATATTGTGATATAGTTTAGAGCACGTATTGTGATATAGTTTAGAGCACGTAACTGTATAGTCAGCCGTACTTAGCATTTGGAAACCACTTGCTACTGGAACAAAACTACGCACTCTCTAATCAAGCCTCCTTATTCGTTAATTTGCAACGGCGATGGAAAATAAGAAAAGAACCCTGACATTGTTGTCTTCTTTCCAAATTGTGATATCCGTCATGTTTTTCATTCTGGGATTGGTGGACGGACTTGAAATCCGCTTTGTAAATGTTAGCCTCGTGTTTTCGCCATGTTGGATTGTTCCTCTGGTAAGTGAATTTTGTCTGTTTTCTAATTTGTCAGGCACTTAAATCTTTTTAAGACTATATTTTGTCGTGGATAAAGATATTATCGCTCCTATGATGGTACAAGTTAAAAGAAAACCTACGTCTGTGTTTTTCGTGATCTGCTCAAACGAGAGAAATTTGCGAAAACTAGTTCTCACTTTCACTGTTTAAAATATGGCAGTAATATGCTGTAAAATAACTAATCTTTTAAGTGCACCTTTAAAGTTCTAAGTTGCTAACTGCCAATGCTCTCGATGGATAGTGTCGGCGCCAGCTGTCAATATCATGCCCCTACCACCTACCCCCACCCCTCCCCACATGGCGAAGAGTGTTTTTAGCAAGCATAGTTAACTTATTATTTGATGAATCCTTACCCATGTTTCCACGAGATTCCACAAAATGAAACAAGAAACGCCTGAGAAGTTTGATCGCGGTGGTTATCTCGCGTGACAAGATATCTTTAATATTTTTATTGCGGTCTGCAAGTACTGGGTGTTTAGTCGAATTAAGGACTTCAAAGGCGGACCGGCCATTTTCATTTTGTAAAGAAATTTTAATATCCTGCTGATTGTAGGAATTTATTATATGTTTACTGAAGAAGCTCCACACATGGAAAACAATGATGGGGTTGCCGCCGTTGTTATGTGGATATAATTCCACACAACTTTGTTAGTACGTGAAGTATTACACCACTGGCTTGTTTACGCATTGCTTGGGTTAGTTAGAATTTTGATATATCGAACGTGGGCTAATATACACATATTAAGTTATAAATTTAAACGTATATCTTTGTATGTAGGATTTTTTTGTGTATATGTGTCAAAAGCTAGTGTCCCCAGTTGACATTTTAGATACATCTTTTGATTCTTCAGTGAAGCACATGAATGCATATATAATATATGTTTATGTTTAATTCTGTTTTTTGCATTTACTGTTCAGACTCCTGCAAATGGTATCATGGGACTTGTTTTAAGCAAAAGCCAAAACAGATCCTCAAATCTGGTAAGATTTTCTCAATCATAAGCACTTGCAGACGTCAGAGAAACACTGTCGGAAGTTCAGAAAGCGAAGACTTTCTGAAAGCATCGACTGTCCCTTCGCCTTTAGGCTCGGCGAACGTTGGGTGGGGACTACCTCAGGCGCATCGAGACACTCACGACTGGAGACTGAGGCCACCTCCTCCCTTCCCCCCAACCCCCACACCACCCCCCACCGCCACCACCACCATCACCAAAAAAAGGGAGGCAACCTTAAGTATTGATCGTCTTGCAGTTGAAGAAGAAGAACATACTCAGCGGTAACTGGGGTCGCCTTTAAAATAATAACGATAAACTTAATAGGCTTGAGCGAAGCGATACGGCTGTCTTCGCTTTCGAAAAAGCTGAACAGGACGAAACAAGGTGAAGGGGGCTTTTATTTCTTTTGCCGAATACGAGGTCCCTATAGCTTGGGCTGAATGCTACACGCCGAATATGTTTTATCAGAAAGTTGTATTCAAGTCCTCCAGACGGACGGACGGACGGACGGACGGACGGGTGACGTATTACTAAAAGACACTGAATAATACCCTGACCACATGCTCAAACAGTGTTTTTTGCTTGTTGCGAAACGGGATGTCCTGAAATGACGTCACAATCACTCCTGCCGATTCCTCTGTTTTCAGTTGCGTGGTTTTGTGCCCCACTGCAAGTGAAATTTTGACGTTTTTGGTACGTCAAAACACGGAGAGAAAAGTCGATGTCGAATTTATTATTATTATTATTTTTTGGTTTTATCAAAACTCTGTAGATTAAATCAAGCAATGAAAAAGAAAATTTGCTATACACACTTTAACTCATAAGTTTTACTCTCTTTAGATCCGTGCCATTTGGTCAGTTAGCGTGGCATGCATTGTTTACTCCGCTATTACAGCGCTGAGGTATCAGTACTGGGGTATCGAATTACTGACGTTTGATAAGATCTTCTACAACTCGGACTACCCGTCCGGCAAATGGTGGTTTTTAAAAAAAGATGACAAGCTGAAGTACACTGAGCAGGAAAACAAGGCACTCGCTCTATTTGGCATCATCATTGTGTTGGGTATCATTGAAATTATCCTGGCTGCTGCCTTGGCCAGAATCAGCGATTCAAGCCACAAAGTGGCTCAGCCCGCCATCCCCATTTACGCTATGTATCATCAGGTACGTATGTCATTGTCAAATCATACTATGAAACAAACATGCAGTTTGTTTGTCTATCATGTGCAGTTGTGTCTTAAGCTACATGCTAACGGACGTAACAACTCCCAACAATGTTACGACCTGCAGTGCATCGTGGGAAGGTTACAACCCATAAGACTTTGGAGACCATGTGTAATGCGCGTGCGTGGCCCCAACAATGTTGGAAGAACTGTGCAAACAGATCCAATTAACATTGTTGCGCTACGCTTCGGTGATCACGTAACAAAAGGAATGTTGGGCGTTGTTGGCTCAAACGTTTTCCCGGTTTCAAACTTTGCGCAACAACTCCCGATGCAACAGGGTGTGCAAACAGATGCAACACGGCGCTTTAAATGTCCTTAAATGATGTAGCACTTGATTCCTTGTAAGATTTAGTATGAGTTGGTAAGTCAAGCAAATTAATTCAACTTGTCACCATCGTTGTAGTGGCCACATTTACACTGGCCTGATAGCGAAATTTAAGAGAATTTTCCCTATAAAGCCCCGTGCAAAGGGAAGCAACATTGTTGGCCAACAACTCGCACCATTGCTGGGAGTTGTTGCGTCCGTTTGCACGTAGCTTAAAGATAAATTTTTAAACTTCCCAAATTAGACTTTACTCACCATACCAGCCATCTTTACACGCCCTTTAGGATCGAGGGAAACAAAGCAGTGTCACGTGGTATTTCAGGGGGCAAACAAGTGATAAAATTTGCCAATACGAGAAATCGCGGTCGAGTTTTCCTATATTTTCAAAAGGAGACGACGAGTTAGTGGTCATGTATTATAATGTACAGTTCGATGGACAAGTTTTACGTCATTAAGTTTTTGCTGTGAGGATATCTACGGTTGCTACCGCATCCAAAGAAGTAATAATGTTCACTTCCACCCATCATTTGCCATTATCGTCTTTAATAAAACCGATACTGACAAACAAAATCACTGTATCGTACAACTAACTACGGAATAATTAAGACAGCATATGCTCCGCAACAGACTTTACTATTTTTTTATTAACATTTTTAAATCATTAAAATTGCACGACGAATACACAAACCGAAGAACCAATAAAATTACGAAGTGAATTTCTGTCTCTTTCCGTCAACAGCCAGGTCAAGTCAGAGACCACCCAGGACAAACCAGTGTAGACACTGGGTCAGACGTACGCCTAATCACAGCCCAGGATGTACCACCAACCTATTCCTATTATCAGATGTCTCCTCATTAGAACTCAGAATTCAGTGTTCCCAGCGAAAAGGACGCTTACAACAGATTCAATTGTTCCACTTTTATATTTAAAGCTTTCTCTTTACTAACTTAAATGTTCCTTAGTGCCCAGTACAGAGGCAACGGAGCACTTTCAAACGTAAGGAACCGGTGGGAGGGGGGCTCATCTTACACCAAGCTAAGCGTGAAACCCCTACTCAAATTTCCCTAATGTCCTTTGCGTAGTTGTGTCGCACAGAAAGGTTGTTTGCATGCAACCTCAACAGTATCAAGATCGTTCATAATCAATTTGTGATATGCATAAGTAGGCATTTGTTCAGACGTCGATCTTGCTTCATGGAGCATCCTAAATATATCCTAATTAAGACGTCGGAGGGCAGGAAACTTATGATATGAAGTCGCCAATGCCATGTACAGTTAATGGCAAATTCAATCTTAAAACATTTTGGGGACCTCTGGGGGAAGCGTTTTTGCAAAAGTGTTTTTGGGGAAAGGGGGGCTAGGGATATTTTGGGCACCGAGGGGGGGGGGGGGGGGGGGAGGAGGGAGAAGGGGGATGCTGATCCCCACATATTTCAATCATTAGGAGGGACCAGGCCCCAGTTGGATAGCGCAACTATCCACGGGATAAATCACTATCCAACGAATACGTGTTAGGGAAACCAATTGCGCTATCCATTGGATAGGTTTTTATCCAGTGGATTGGTGGATAGCGTTACCCACCTTTTGAACAATAATACAAGAAAGCGTATTGAGCTCCAGCGATTAATAATTATATTCAGTCATTTCTATTTCTAATTATCATCATCATCATCATCATCATCATCATCATTATCAATATCATTATCATTCTCCTCAGCCAAGTAAAATATTTTCTGCAGTGGAATCTCTCGTAAGCGGACACCTCGGGGCGGCTTTCGAGAATGGTTCTCATTAATAGCCAAGTGTAAGGGTAAAATGGCCGCTTACGAAAGCTTGCTCAACTACAAATAAACATTGGAAATGAAAATATAAAAAAAAACAGAGAGAAAACTGTTTTTTAGTGTTTGCCTACAATGTAATTGTTGTTCTGACAATATTATAATTCAGTCACAAGCATAAAATTCAAGTCTTTTAGCGGGTGGACATGTTTGTGAAAAAAAAAGAACGAAAATACTGAAAATGATATAAATTCATGGTGACGAACAGCGCTATGAAGTTGATGCATTAAAATACAAGATTCAGCGGCGAATGGGTGGACGGCGGAAGTCAGAGGTCGGAAGCTAAGGTGGAAGTTGAAAATGGGAAGTCGGAAGCTAAAATCTAACTCGTAAACCCTGAAAGTGACCGCGGGCCGCCTTTAACGGTTAAGTTAATTATAATTCTTACTGTGGGAGTTTTTTTTCCTTAGGTTTTTTAAAGGGGTTATGGCACTAGGATATTGCTGTTTTGTGTCAATTATGTGTTGAAGTCATTACTTTGTGCCTTAAGCCATACATAAAATTCTCCTCAAACGGTCGAGTTAGGAAGAAGATATAAAAAAGCGTTAACCATAACACGTTTTTTGGTGAGTTTCAGCAAGTGAAATCTGGCTTGACTATTACAAGTTTTAATCCACGACAGACGACAGGAAACAGTTTAAGTCGGCCTAATTATAGTCTTAAATAACAAAACTGGTCCATTATTGTCAGAATTCAATTGATGCAAAGACAGTTTAACTTTTAAGAAAATAGCGCGACTTGAACAGCTGTAAGCAGGGCGGATAAATGTTAGGCGGTGAAACGAGCGCTCCGCTCTTCATTTACGTGTGATGCGGAGTAGGACTGGCACGAGCGCTCTTTCCGCGCTTCCGATGCGCTTGAAGGCCGGCGAAATTTTCCTTTTTGCAAACCGGAAATGCTATTTTCTTTCTGTAATTTCAGGCTACAATGTTAAATAGATAAATTCGTTTCATAAAAATATCTATAAACAATTTCATATGTTTGTGTCTGTATGCCTATAAGTCAAACTTGTTGGTCGTATAATGCCAAAATCTGAGTTTAATTTGAAAGTGTTGAACAGCTTATCCTGCCACTAAATATCACCTAATCGTCTTTCGCCGTTTCGTTTGCAAAAGCTTAATACTTCTTAACCTCAAATTTTACATATGTTAAAGGGGGATAAATTTTATATAACATAACAAAAAATTAGATTGATATATTTTGATATAGTGGCGTTGTACTGCTTCAAACTTTGCTTCTCGGGTGCAACACGCCATGGCGATTCTCGCAATGCGTCGCAAATCCGGCAACCGAATGTAAACAAAATTTATTGAGGTTAGTTGTCAGGTTTTTTCTCCGTTTTTCTCTCTAAAACAAAACAAGGTAAACAGTAAAAACTGAAGGGAAACTAATTTTGTAGTTTTGAAGAAACAGAAAGACGTATGAGATGTTTTTTTTCAAAATTAAACAGAAGGATGATGGTGATTTAAATTAGCATAATTTCACCTTGCACGAGCTGCACGCATTTATAAAATACACGTCATCTAGTTATGAAACACGATCTGCTGTCTTTTAGTTTCGCGATGGATGACATCGATGAGATTTTCCTTCGTGTTTTAGACAGTACATAGTTATTTTTGTTTTGGAATAACATCGACATTGGCGAGTAGTAGAACGAAAATATAAGTCAGTGGTAGAGTCATGGAAGTAATAAGAGAAACCCTTTGAAAGAGATATTTGTCTACTCCAACTAAACCTCCCGCAAAAATAGCAACATTTGCCTCTCGGAGACAGCATACCGGCACAAAGAAACGAGGAAGAAGTGCAAGAAAACAAAATCAAGCCGCCATAATTCAGTGACAGCGGCAGTGTCTAATGGACAAACCACATCGCAAACCCTGACCGAAGTCGAAAACAAGCGACATTTCTAAACAGTGTCCCAGTCCACTGCATCACACCTTTTTGCTCGGACATGCTCGTTTCACCGCCCAACCTTTATCCGCCCTGGCTGTAAGATAATATACGTATGACGTCACAGTCTTTTTAATTTATTCTTCAACAGACACTTCCTTGTGCTGCAAGAAAACTGCGCTGTCTTAACAAGCTTCGATTCCTCATTTGTTAATTGGCAACTGCAATGGAAAATGCTAACAAGAGAACCCTGACATTGTTGTCTTCCTTCCAAATTGCGATATCCGTCTTATTTTTCGTTCTGGGATTGGTGGACACACTTGAAATCCGCTATCTGTATGTTAGCCTCGCGGCTTCGCCATGTTGGATTATTCCTCTGGTAAGTCAGTGCCTCTGATTCCTACCTGTTTCTAAATTTATCAATGACTTAACTCTTTGTAAGATTATATCTCGTCATGGATAAAGGTGTTACTGCTGCAGTGATGGTAAAAGTGAAGAGAAAACCTTCTGAACTTTTTGCCTTTGGATCTTCACGCATGATTATAAGTAATTCATCTGATTCATTAGGAGTGGTGGTCTCGCTTTCACAGTGATCAGGTCAAACAACAGAAACCAATTTGCGAAAGCTCATAGTTGTTATTCCAATTATTCAACTATTCAATTACCAAACATTTTGAAAGTGCACTTAAAAACTTGTTTGTTTTCGACTGCCAATGTCTCGATTGATGCCGTCGGCGCCTTTTGTCAATATACTTCCCGTCTTGGCGCTAAGTGTTTTCAGCGAAGGGTAGGCTTGGGTAAATTCTTCCGGCAGAATTTCGAGCAGAATAAGCGATTTTTGAGGCGAGCATTCTGTTGGCAGAAGAAGGCATTTTCGAGCAGAATTTGAGCAGAATAAGGGGAAATCAGCGGCACTAATGATATGCATATCAGTTGAAAGAAAAATTAAAAACAAAATAAAATACACACGGAAAATAATTACTATTCTGCAACACATAATGAATATCTAATTAGGTTTTAAGGGTTAGGTCGAGGCTCCCCTCTATATTTGCGCAAATAAATATGTGCGGAAAATTTTTTCCGATACCGAGCAGAATTCGAGCAGAATTTTGAGCAGAATAAGCGACTTTTACGAGTACTGCTGGCAGGCGGAATAAGCCATTTTAAGAGCAGAATTTATCGAAGCCTAGCGAAAGTTCGGAAGCTCGTTATGTTGGGGAAAATGCAAGTATGGTTACATTAACTAGTTATTTTATACGAATAAAGCCCGTGTCCTTTTCCACTTAATTGTGAACGAACTCCCACCAAATACGACAAGAAACATCTCAGAAGTTTGATCGACGCCTTTATTACAGTAAAAACCCGCGTATAAGAACCTAGTGATTTAAGAACCTACAGGCTGGAATTTGGCATTTAAATACCCAAAAATATAAGAACCTTTTCAGCCTGGCAAAGGAAAATAGGTTTTTATACAAAAATAATCACTTCAGTTTTTATGGTCAAAATTCTCGATTTTAATTTTGTGAGAAACTTTTGACAAAAGGTTATTGTGTGTATGTTTTCTTTGATTTACATTTGTTTGGATTTTCACTAGAAGTACGTTTTCCATAAAGCTACCGTGCAATATAGACGATTCAATATCTTTTAAAAAATATAGAAACTCATTGATGTTCTTCTTGGACCTTGATTGTTTGCCATTATGTATTAGTAGTACAATATTTCTGCTAATGGTTACGCTATGACAACCTCTGAAAAATAAGAACCTTTTAAGAACCTAATCAGCCTGAATTGTGAAAAACTACCCTAAAATATAAGAACCTGTTCAGCCTGAGGTCAAAAATTCTAGGTTCTTATGTGTGGGTTTTTACTGTATTTGGATTATTCCAGACAATTTCAGCAATTTCGTTCGTACCCTGCGCTGACATTCCGCAAGTCGGCTTGTTTACGCATTTGCAAACTACTCCAAAGCCGGTAAGGATGCGAACGACTCCGCACATATAATACTAAAAGCAACCATATTGCCGCAAAGGAACCTCAGGCGCTTTCCATTCAAAAATTGCGGTTTGAAATTTCGAAATTTGAAATTCCACGTGCCCAATAGTCTGCTACACAGCCGTTTTTAGTGTCGTGACGACTCTAAAAACGGCTGTGTAGCAGACTACGTGCCCAATGGAACGGTACATTCCGGTTGCACAGACCCGACCCAAGCCACCGCGCGTTTGGTTATTGTTCTTGTAAGCAGGATTCAAAAGAGCGGTACTGGGGACAACAATTTTGTCAAATAGAAAGGGAAATAAATTTCGGTCCGACCGACCGAAATGACCAGACCGGTCAAGGTAGACCACCTTCAAAGGTGGTGCCAAACATTCCGGTCGGACCGAACCGAAATGGTCTGTTCCATTTGATTTGTAACCGAAATTTCCGGAATTTTAGGATGAATGGAAAGCGCCCGAAGGGTATAATGACACAATGACGATGGCAATGAGACAAAAACAATGTCTTTTTAAAAAGAAATACTACAGCACTGCAAGTAGACTGCAAAACAGTCGGTTTTTTTCTCAAAATAGGCTTAGCGCGGCTTCAAAGTCTCACGCCCGAAGCGCGCCAAGCCCAGAAAAAAAGCGTCTCTCCCCAGTCTCGCACTCCTTTTTCAGCCTTGCTCCAGACCTTTTGTTTGACTGCTCGCCAGTACTTGAACCCAGAAATATGGACTGTTTTGCAGTCTACACTGCAAGTGAATAACACTTTTTTCATTATCATCTACAACGTGAAACGTTCTAATGCGACGTGACGACAAGGACAACGAATGTCCTGTCTCGTTGTAAACCTGGGCGTAGTCCTTAAAAAGTCACTTTCTACAGAAACATTTGGCTACATTTAATAATGTATACTGGCAAATTAGGCAAGGCTAAATAAACGCAATAGACAGGTTGAAATAAGGCAAGTTCATTTTAGTAACGTTTTTACTTACTGTTGTCACTGCGGTAGAAATTCGCTATGGCTCATGCTAAGTCAATGATAGTGTTACATAATAAATTTTCTTTAATGATCTTTATATCATGTATATACATGTCAGTCTAATAACCCACGTTCGATATATCAAAATTCTGACATGACTCCAAGGCTTTCTGGTCATATAGGACACTCACGCTGACAACTCCTATTGATATTGATGTGCCAACCAGAAAGCATTGGTTCTTTTAACTTCACCTCTTTTGTTTCACTCGTTACAAATTTAAATAAGTAGTGATGACCCCTGTATTTATCTTTGGTTTGATCTTCTTGGTCAACCTCGTCCCCAGGGCTTTTTAAGGGAAAAGCCTTGGGGACGAGGTTGCCTCTTGGTGTCTCTTCCGGGAATAAAGGGGGACAAGGGAAGTCAAGTTAGAATTTTGATAGACCGACCGTTGGCTAATATACATTTATTTTAATTTTTTTTGTTTATTTTTCGCTGATCGTGTATATACAGCTGTACATATCGGCCACTTTAGGATGATTATAATCATGTATATGTCGATAGGAGTTCTTTTGTTAACAGTGTCCCCAGTTAGCATTTTAGCTAAATCGTTTGATTCTCCAACGAAATACTTTAATACATGTAAAAACAATGTATATAAGTATGTATTTCATTCTGTTCTATGCATTTACTGTTCAGACTCTTACAAATGGCATCATGGGACTTGTTTTAAGCCAAAGCCGTAAAAGATCTTCAAATCTGGTAAGATTTTCTCGATAAGCAGTCGTAAACGTCTGAAAGAGGAAAATAATTTTTTATAACCTACTATTCCTTTCCATTTACTTTCCATAAGCAACGTCCGCTCTCCCCCACCCCCCACCAACTCTCCTAGGCTTGGCGGGTTGGGAGTACCGTGGGAACATCAAGACACCCCTCCCATTACTGGAAACTGAGCCTACCCCGTCTCCCCTCGACCACCACCACCACCACCACCACCACAAAAAAAGGCAAGCTAACGGATTATAAAGTGAAGTCCCTTCGAACCTATTGATCGCCTCGTAGAAGAAGAGCACCATTATCGGAGGAAACTGGAACTTGCGCTGCCTTGAAACTACGTTCAAGTGGCAGATGGTTTAAATTTAATTGGAGAGAGCAAAGCAAAACAGCGGTCGTCGCTTTCGAAAAGACTGAACAAGACGAAACAAGTCAACACGAGGATGCATAACATGTCCCCTTTAGTTTGGGCTAAATACTTTCCCTCTCTTCTCCCCCCCCCCCCCCCCCCCCCCCCCCCCCCCCCACCAATCTTTATCTGAAACAAACAGGCACACCGACAAAACTCCCCACAAAAAAAAAAAAAACATAACCAACTAACACCCAGTGTCGCAGCTACCATCTTGACACTGCGGACAAGTGGCAGATGGTTTAAAATTAATTGGAGAAAGCAAAGCAAAACAGCGGTCCTCGCTTTCGAAAAAACTGAAAAAGACGAAACAAGTCAAAACGAGGATACATAACATGTCCCCCTTAGTTTTGGCTAAAAACTTTCCCCCTCTTCTCCCCCCCCCCCCCCCCCCCCCCCAACACCTCCAAATATGTTTTATCAGGAAGAAAGGGGTACTGCATTCAAGTCCCCCAGAGAAAAAAATATATGCAGGATCTCATAGCCCGGAGTTAGCAATTTCTATGTACTCTTGTCATGGCGTTCTTCTTGCCAGTTTTTTGGCGCGAAGTTAGAATATTTTGCCAAGTCCCACAAACCAGTCAAAACCTACAGACCTGAAAATGGTATTTTGACCTTTTAATGACGTTTAGTTCTCCGTATGCAGGCCTTATACTTCAATAGCGGAGAACCGCTTTATGTCAATCTAAAAATAAACGCCGTGACGTAGGCCTAGTGTGAGATTTGCTCGCTGCATGTCAGTTATAAACTCCTGATATGTGCCTATTCAAAAGTGCAACTTCTTCTTTTAAATAACATTACTGAGTCATCTCTAACTTTATAATTTATTGATTTCAGTCTCTTTAGATCCATGCTATTTGGTCGGTTAGCGTGGCATGTATTATCTACTCCGCTATTATAGTACTCAGGTATCAGACTTGGGGGATCGAGTGGCTGATGAATAATATTATTACCGATACCTTAGGCATCTACCGCAACGACAAATGGTGGTTTGTAAAGAAAAATGTCAAGCTGAAGTACACTGACCACGAAAATAAGGCATTTGCTGTATTTGGCATCATCATTGTGTTGTCTATAATTGAAATTATCCTGGCTGCTGCTTTGGCAAAAGTCAGCGATTCAAGCCACAAGGGGGCTCAACAGCCCACCATCCCAATGTACGCTATGTACTATCAGGTACGATAAAAATGGCATTGTGAAATGTAATCATACTATGAAACACACATGTTTTTTTTTTTTTGTCTAATTATTACACTTCTGTCATAAATGGGGCGGGGGAGGGGTATAGACGTTGCAGTCGCTTAAATCTTAAGATTTCGCTTAAGATTTCGTATGAGCGGGTCTGTCAAGCAAATTGATTCAATTACACTGACCTGGTAGCGGCAACTGGGAAGAATTGCGTGTGATCTGGCCTGTATCTGACGAATTCTTGGAAAAAAATATAAACTTACAGCTGTACAGTCAGCCTTGCTTTTTTCACTTTTTGCTCACAAAAACATTTTGCTGACTTGATCCATTAGGATCTGGCATCTTTGTTTTGTACGTTAGCGTATGCTATTTATTTACAAGATATTTTTGAACTGCATACTACTATTACTACATGCTTTGCAACAGCCTTTGTTTACTAATGTACAGTTATAAATGATTAGAATTTCACAACGAATTCGCAAACAGAAGAGGAAATGAAATAACAAAGTAACTTTATCCGTTTCTTTTCCTTCAACAGCCAGTGGGCCAAGTCAGTGGGTTCCCGGGACAAACCAGTGCAGACACTGGCTCTGGCCAACGCCTAATTCCTGCTCAGGATATGCAACCTACCTATAATCAAATTTCTCCTCATTAGAAGTAAAAGACGCTTTCTTGTTTTTCTTTCTTTTTTTGCGGAAATACTATTCTCTACTGGAAGGCTTTGCTGCTGCCATGGCCAAATCAGGTTCATTGTTAACGTTGATCTAGCTGTAGTGTGAGCTATAATCCACCTTCCACAGATTGGTAATGTAGATCAGGATTACTTTGTGTTATCTTGATTGCAATCCTGGCCCCAGTTGTTTCCGTCTTCCTCTCGCTAAAAGGAATTACGGAAAGCAGAAACTTTTTTATCAGTGCGCTAAGGAATGGAACATCATGATTTTAGACGCATCTTTTAAAGAAATTAACTCTCTTCTTCTTTTTAAACAGAACACTAAAAGCTATAAATTGTAGATATTTTATTGCTTTTAAAATTTTAATCTATCTGACATTTTAACATTCTTAACCTGTAGCTTGTATAATTTAGGTTTTTAGTTCTTAACTTTTTACTTATTATTACTATTACGCATTCATTTATCTAAGATCATTTATTTTTTCTTTTGCTTTACAGGGCCTCACTGAATATCACTCTTTGTGAAGTGAGCTCCCTGTATAAAGATTGTTACTTATTATTATTGTTATTATTATTATTATTATTATTATTATTATTATTATTATTATTATTATTATTATTATTAAGTTGGATAGCGTTATCCACCTTTTGAACAACTGGGGCCTGGACGAAACGTCCTTGGTACAGTGATGCAATATTCGTTATTATCTGTAATTTCTGGATACCCTCATGAAACAGCGTTTTCATTTTAAATACCTCTGCAGTTGGTAGGTTATAGAATTTAGTGCTTGTTATATTTAATATCTTTTTATCAATTAAGTTAAGGTTGTTTTGTAACATTTTTTTGTATTGTAAATCATTTATTTCTCAGGGCTACCTTTTGGTAACAGAGTCTGCCTTGACTCTGACGGAATTTCCCTCAATAAATGTAGGTGTTTATCTTTTATCTTGAATATATATCAGCCAAGGTGAGATTTTGCTTGGTTAAACTGCCTTGGTAGCGAAAGCGGAGCCGTAGAAATGCTAAGAATAACTGACTGTTAAGTGGTACCAAAGCGTAACAGGTACACTTTCTCTCACCACGTTAAATGAGAGATGAATCCACCTTTGTTACATCCATGTTGCAAGACAACAGAACAAAAACCACCCGTTACACTTATTCTCTCTAAACGGTAGAAGGTTTACCGTAATTATCATCTGAGGTCAGGCGCTAACTACCGCTTTGCGCCCGATTTGTAAGCGCACTCAAGCTAGAATGCATTACTTTTAAAGTAGCCTAGTTTGCATTTTTATTATCTATCATTGTACAGTATTAGTTGCGATTGTAAGTGGCTTTGTAATTCAGCCTTATACACAACTCGATCCTCAATCATCGAAACTCGAGACTCGATTCTCTAGACGCCAGACTCGATCCTCGAAAGTTTCGAGAATCGAGAATCGTGTCTCGCGTCTCGAGGATTGAGACGCGAGAGACTGTCAACTTACTTTTGAACGGTACTGTATGTATCATGTATCATGTGTTGCTGCAATAAGTTTATTTTAACCAACGGACGTACCGTAGGTACCCCCCCCCCCTTTGCCCCTCGGGGTTTTTTTTGAGTTTTTTCCTAGACGAGAAAACATCAGCACCTGACGTTTTCAGTAGCTGTTCGTTTATCCCTCGCGCGTACTTTTAAAACACGTTTAGTGATGGTCAGTTACTATGGTTACGAGATATGACATCATAAGTAGCAGGTGGTCAAGCCATATTTGAGTGAAAATACATGTTTTTCAACTTCTTTTAGCAATAGAAGTGTAAAGCTGGTGGATAAAATGATGCAAAGTACCTATTTATGTGTTATTTTACATGTTAAGCACAAAACCATTATCGGTTCTCGCGGTTTTTACCTGATTTCTAATTCTTGATAAAATCTAAGATGGTGACCATGTTTGGTGACGTCACAGGCCTCCAGCAGCGCCACCACCCATAAAATATATCCCCGGAGTAGTCAATCGATAAAAATCGATAGCAATCAAGTGATTTTTATCGATTGATAACGGAAATCGATGAAAATCGATAAACTAAATTGCTGTGTCAAATCGATATTATCGATTTTTCATGATTTTAACGATTTATAACGGTAAGTCCGACATTGTTGTTGTTTTTTTTTTGGCATCAGTTAAATAGTACAGCTGAGAAAACACATCCACGAAAAACAACTGATCAACAAACACGAAAACAAGAAAAGTGGAAACTATTACAGACAAAATTCTCTCTAAAAACCGTGACCCTTTTGTACATAATAACAGAAACGGTTCGGTTTAATTACATTCACAGTTCTCGCAAGCAAGTACCACGAGAAATACAACGTTTAGATAAAAGATTTCCGAGCCTGAATTTCAGACATCCTCTAGAGTCGAAGGGATGTCCAAAATTCAGACTAAAAGAATTCTCTGGATAACTTTTCACAGTTTTCCGTTAACAATCGATAAAATCACTTCATCGCTAACCCTAACCCTGACTACTCCTTTAATAGACCATTTCCGCGTTGCCCAGTGCCTCTGTTTCAAAGCGAGGCTAAGTGCAAAGCTATTGATATGACAATAAATTTTTATTCTCATGCATTTCCGCAACTTGACGTCGTTTGTAAGTGAGAGTTTATGGAACAAAGATGTGGGCTATTTCATTCTCGCACTTTTTTAGAATTAAAAATGCGAAAAGCCAGGGACCAATTCTTGCCTTAAAGTTGCTTCACCCTCTTATTCGTTAGAGAGTACGAAAGATAACAATAGGTTTTCCAATTTTTTGGGCCTTCTAGCTCCGGTATTTAACAAAGTGTTAAACACAATACTCATTAGCTCTTATTAAAACTCATATTATTAATTTTACATTCTGTATTACAATTTACCCTCACCGAATGAGTACCCATTACCATTTTTTTGGAATTCAATTCATGCGAAGACTTATGCTACCTTTTCAGAGAGATACCAAATAGCGTGCTGCTACATGTGATAGAGCACGTAACTGTATATCACGCTAATTGCGTGATATAGTCAACCGTACTTAACATTTGGAAACCACTTGCTACTGGAACAAAACTACGCACTCTCTAATCAAGCCTCCTTATTCGTTAATTTGCAACGGCGATGAAAAATACTAAGAAAAGAACCTTGACATTGTTATCTTCTTTCCAAATTGTGATATCCGTAATTTTTTTCATTCTGGGATTGATGGACGAACTTGAAATCACCTTTGTAAATGTTAGCCTCATGTTTTCGCCATGTTGGATTGTTCCTCCGGTAAGTGAATTTTGTCTGTTTTCTAATTTGCAAGGCACTTAAATCTTTTTAAGATTATATTTTGTCGTGGATAAAGATATTATCGCTCCTATGATGGTACAAGTTAAGAGAAAACCTTCTGAGCTCGTCGCTATGGGATATTAACCGACTTTAGTGTGTTCATTCATTAGCTTATATTAGGACGTCTGTGTTTTTCTTGATCTGCTCAAACAAAAGAAATTTGCGAAAACTAGTTCTCACTTTCACTGTTCAAAATATGGCACTATTAATATGCTGTAAAAGTGCACCTTTAAAGGTCTAAGTTTCTAACTGCCAATTCTCTCCATGGATCTTAATACCTGTTTTTTGCATTAAGAAATGGTATTGAGCTTCAGCGATTAATAATTATATTCCGTCATTTCTATATAATTATCATCATCATCGTTATCAATAAATATCATTATCATTCCCCTCAGCGAAGTAAAATAATCACTCATAAGCGGACACCTCGGGGCCGCTTTCGAGAATGGTTCTCATTAATGGCCAGTATAGATGTAAGGGTAAAATGGCCGCTTACGAGAGCTTGCTTGACTACAAATAAACGTTGGAAATGAAAAAAAAAAAAAACAGAAAGAAAACTGTTTTTTAGTGTTTGCCTACAATGTAATTGTTGTTCTGACAACGTTGTAATTCAGTCACAAGAATAAATTTCAAGTCTTTTAGTGGGCGGACATGTTTGTAAAAAAAAAAAAAGAAAGAAAGAAAATTCTGAAAATGATATAAATTCATGGCCACGAACAGCGATATGAAGTTGATGCATTAAAATACAAGATTCAGAGGTGAATGAGTGACGGCGGAAGTCAGAAGTCGGAAGCTAAGGTGGAAGTTGGAAATGGGAAGTCGGAAGTCGGAAGACCCTCTTGGGCTGTGAAATAGATTTAATTTCAGGTTTCTACTAAGAGGAACTTAAATAAAAAGCTAAAATCTAACTCGTAAACCCTGAAAGTGACCTCGGCCGCCTTAAACGGTTAAGTTAATTCAAGAGACTATAAAGGGGACAGAGAGGCCATCCCCCATATACACCCTATTCCATCGGTAATTCGTCTCGAGTTATTTTTAGAATCGGGATAAAGTTACCTCGCGCGAGGCGTGGATGTTTCGTGGAGGTTTCGCATGACCAAACGCCGTGCAAAACATGTCGGGCGAGAGGCAATGAAAGCGTAAAAAGATCGAGAGCATTCCTGAATATTGAAGCGAAATGAGTCGGCGCTCACCTGGGAAAAAGGAATCGCTGGACTCTTTGACAACCCGTGAAATCAGTTTAACTCGAAGTTGTCGTAACCTCAGTGCTTTAATAAAATGAGAAATTTCGCCGGTCTATTGAAACCGGTCGTTTGTACAATTTAGGGAGTTTAAGATCCAACGACGCGGACGACAACTAGAACGTCAAAAAAACAATAGGTTTAATTAGCAAAACAACAACTTCGCACGTGCAACACACTTTTTTGTTCATTTCTTTCCCGTTTTTGCACGACTACGACGTGAAAATGCCTAATTTCGCGTTTTATGGAGGACGTAAATAAGCAACGACGAAATTTTATTTCTCTTTCTGAGCTTGAATATGGTCCCTTGAAATTCAGCTTTAGGAGGGTTCGCCTACAATTGACAAAGTAAGTGGGTAGGAATAATCGCTATAAAGACTGAAAAAAATAAACATCAAACCA